CGAAATCTCGGCAAAATGCAAAATTTGTGACAGAAGGAGTATTTCCTTCAGAAAGGATTATTTCCTTCAGAAAGACCGTTGGTTAGCAAGGTTAGCTAAACTTTTTTGACCCTGCCTCTTAAAAGAATCAGAATCGAGAATCGTTAGGAACCGGAATCGGAACAAGGAATCGGAATCAGAAATCGTTCAAATTCAAACGATACCCAACCCTAATTGGGAGCAGTAAAACGACCGTAATGACACCATAAAATTGAGGATTTTTTGGACAAAAAGTCAGTCGCGACAAGCCTCAAATCTGGCCACGCCCCCGATCATTGGGGGTGCAAATCATGCCCAAAATCTCTTTGACGAGCATTAAGTTAATTAAAGGAGTAGTTCACTTTTGAAAAAACTTTTGCTGATAATTTACTCTCCCCCATGTCATCCACGATGTCCATGTCTTTCTTTCTTCAGTTGAAGCGAAATTAAGGTTTTTGATGAAAACATTCCAGGATTTTTCTCCATATAATGGACTTTATCTGGTAACCAAACAGCTCAAGGTCCAAAAGACGGTTTCAGTGCAAAATGCAAACTTTCAAAGGGCTTTAAACGATTACAGACAATCAATAAGGGTCTTATCAAGTGAAACAAAGTTCTTTTTTAAAGTGAACTACTGCAAGAACGAGCTAAAACAAGAGTTTTAAACTTGGCTATGTGCAGTTTTAGAAGAAAAAAGTGACTTCTTGGAAAAATTGGAAAAAGCTCTAACATATGTATGACTTTTTGTAACTTCTCTGGTTTGCCTAACATCAAAATGTGTAGAAGCCTATACTGAACTTATTTTTTTTAAATAAAAGATCAAAGAAAATTTAAATTTTCATGGTTTGACCACTTAAAAAGTGCTCTAGAATATATTTTTGCTGACTGCAGAATATCAAAAGCATGACAACTTCTTATCAAAGGGTTTTTCCACTCTGAATGCAAGTCAGCATCATTTAGCTTTTCCAGATCCTGTTGTGCAAGACCTCAACGAAACAGGTCATGACTAAGGAGAAGAAAAATCAGCTGGCGGTCTGTAGGCTCTCTGAGCTCGTTTCTTTTGATCATGTTCATTAAACGTGGATAGCTTGAGTCCTTAAGCTACGTAGACAAGAGACACTGTACAAAGCGATGTTCAGCTTTCAGCCTTCATAAACAAGGTGATGCATGAACGCGTGAACTCTCCAATCAAAAGCCTAACTGAAAAGAAGTGGCTAATCTCGCCAGCATGTCAAACTGTCCTTTTCTCACCCACCATCCCTTTGAAGGTGGAGACGAGGTAAAATGTTATGCATACTGATAGATTCCAGCTTCTCTGGAATTCCCCCCTCCTTCCCTCCTCTCCTTTGCTCTTTCTCTTCATCTCTCATATACTAGGCCCTCAAGACTTCTTGGCTGCTGTGATATGAATTAAAGATGAATCTTTCTTTTCACTCTGTAACTTTCTCGGATACTCGGTGTCCTCTGATACTTTTTCTCCTTCAAAAATGGAATCGTGTTTGGCGTACTTGCAGAAATTAGTCAAGCCTCTCTCTAGACTTGACTTGCAGGCAAGCCTAACTCTTACTATTGCTGATATTTGGGGTTAACTCCTAACCCTAAGTCTTACACCTCGGGACGCAACATCTCTCAATGCTTGCCTTACTGACATGATGGCTCAATTTGTGTGGCTTGTTGAGGGAAGGTGTGCTGTGGGCACTTTTTTGGTACAAGTAAAGCCAGCTACGACCACCTCAGATCAGACCTGACAACCAGTGTTTTTCACAAATAAAGAAATAGGAAGAAAGGAAGGAAGAAAACACTGTAACAAACAGGGCACTCTGTAATCTGGCTAGTTTGTATGCACTGGGAATGCACTTTATATTAAGGTAAATGAGCAGACAAGGTAATTTTACATACAACAGACATTAGCCTGGTTTACATTACAGATTTGCGCAAAACTTTTACTTTAATGTCGGTAAAAAACTATTGCGAAATGACGTCATTTCCATTAACTGATGTTATGAGACTAAAACTTAATTTTTTTTTTCCCTTTCGCAACAAGTCATTCCAAAAATTATGGCAATGGATGTTAGTTGGTTTAAGTATATTGCAGCCATTGCACTAGCCATGATTTTTAATCGAATGAGACGTAGGTGTGTTAAGGAAAGCCCCTTAAACTTGGGAGCGGGTTCATATTTCTGAGTATTTCTCCCTCCTATCTGCTTAAAGGTCTTGATAAATTTTGGCATTTCTTTGTTGTTAAGAATCCAGTATTGCCATTATACTTTTGTCTTTTAGGAGTTTAGTATCTCGTCTTCTGTCCAAGCATACCGCGCTATCTTTTTCAGTTTTCAAGAAATTTCTTGAATTGCCTGAGAAATTCGAGAATTTGTCCACCTCATGCAACGTTTTTGCGATACATGTCAATTTTGCAAAATTTACCATGTTTCCATAGGGCATATTTTTCATAGGGTATAGTGGGCAACTGAATGTATTGCAGCATAGTTTGAAATCAAGGTATATATATATAAAATATATATAAAATTATATAAATGCGAAAACTGAATACTGACAGTAAAAGAGAAAGTATTATAGTGTTTGACTTTCTATTACTAATAATATAAAAAAACAAATGCCGTAATACTTTTTTGTATAACTTTTCCTTTACTTTCTTCGTATTAGACTTTTAAACGGAGATGTAAACTACTTAATAAGGAGAGTGGGAGCGCTGTGTGCTCAGGTAATGGTGTTGGTGATGTTAAAGAACATGTTAAAAACTTGGGTGTTTACATCGACAGCTCTCTGAAGCTAAATGCTCAGATAAACCAAGTGGTGAAGACAAGTTTCTTTCATTTAAGAAACTTGGCCAAGTTAAAATCGTGTTTGACGTATAAGAGCCTTGAAATTGCTATTCATGCGCTTATATCGTCAAGACTTGATTATTGCAACTCTTTATATAAGGGTATTAGTCAAGCTTCTATTTTACAGCTGCAAAAGGTCCAAAATGCGGCAGCGAGATTATTACTGAATATTAAAAAACGAGAACACCACTCCATCTTTGATCTCTCTACATTGGCTCCCTGTGCAATATAGAATCGATTTTAAAATTCTTTTATTGGTGTATAAATCACTCCATGACCTTACACCGACTTATTTATCAGCTCTGTTAATAGAGTATCAGTCAGGAAGAACTTTGAGATCATCTAGTCAAAAGTTGCTGAAAATTCCACGGACTAACTTAAACCAGAAAGGGGATCGGGCTTTTGCAGTAGTAGCGCCAAGACTTTTGGAATAGTTTGCCATCATATGTTAGGGATGCTGACTCTGTACATGCTTATAAAGCACAACTTAAGACATATCTGTTTGCCATGGCTTATTCATCTTAAATGTTATTATTTTTATTTTTTATTCTATTACTATTGTAGTATGTTTCTATCTCTATTTTACAGTGAGAATGTAAAGCACATTGGTCAACTTGTGTTGTTTTAATAGTGCTATACAAATAAAGATGACATTGACATTCTCATCGCCGTCAAAATAAACATCCTGATTCCTGCGCATCAACCAAACAAAAAAAATGATCGGATAATGCCGATATTTAAAAATGTCCAAATATCGGCTGATTTATCGCCATGGCGATATGCTGGTTGACCACTACACACAACACCCTAGCAACCACAAAAAGCTAAAAAAAACTTTAAACACATTAGCAGTTGCATAGCAACTCCCTGGCAACCAGCCAGAACATCCTAACAATCACATAGTATCTATATAATATTGTGCTTAATACCACTCGGAACACGTTGGCAACCTCACAAAACATTCCGAACACCTTAGCAACAGTATAGCTACACCATGGCAACCACATGCAATAATCTAGCATCATGGTATTGAGTTCTGCAGTGGAGGCACCACACTGTTTTATTGCATCAGATGATTCTTCATTTTCTCTGATTTGTTCAAAGGTTGATAACTGAATGGAACCACTGATGCTCGTGTCTTTCGAGTGCTTGATTAAAGCGGTGTCTGTTTTCTCGGTTTCATGATTTCATCAGTAAAACCAGAAAGGCAACAGCTACAGGCATCATGCATAATTTAGCACCTAACTTCTTCACATCTCTATTTTACTCTTTTTATCAGCGCGCTCATATTCTCTCTCACACACACACACACACACACACTCTCTCTCTCAAATCTTGATAATTCCAAGGAACACTCTAGTCATTCTCATGTTATCTTACGACAGTCAGCATCGGCCAGTAAACAGTGAGTCAGACACCCAGAGACCAAACACAAACACCAGCACAGGATTTTAATGACAACAGGAGCCCACGTCTGGCGAGCTTTGGTATGTTTTATCAGCCGCTGTTCTTGCGTTTGCCACTCGTACGCTGGCATTCTGACTTTTCCGATGTGAACTCCAGCATTATTGCATGTTTCGTGGTCTTAGATGCGCGTCTTTTGTTGCCCTGGACCAGTCTCACTCAAGCATCCTTCACTGCCTGTGTGAAGGTGGCAGGACTTTGATGAACAAAAGAATGTATTTGAAGCCTGTAGTCTTTGTGCTGCATGGTGATGTGCGGCAGTAGGTATTCTTTGTGGTGTTTTTCTGTTAACTTAACATTTGTCTTCTCTCTCTCTCTTTCCCCATCTCTTTCCCTTTTTTTCTCTATCTTTATTTTTCCCTCCTGATCCCCTTCTGAATCACCTCCTCTCTCTGGTTTACGCTTACACTATCTTGCTTTGCCTTCTGACTGTCTTCCTTCCTTCCTTTTCATGTGTTGCTCAACTTTCCATGCCCCTCTCCCTCTTCCTTACCCTTCCCACAAATCTCTTCATGCACTCTGCCTTCACTTTTCTGACTTTGCATTTCTGACTAACTTTTATCCCTGTTGTTTACGCTCCTGCCCATTCCATCCATTCTAAATTCTCTTTCTTCACGCCTGCTGCTTTTTACCTTCCACCCTCTCTCAATCTTCTTGATCTCTATCTCTTTTCAGCAGGTGAGGGGGTGCCATGCCAGCTGCTGCTCCCCTGTTGCTGCTCCTCGCCATCTTGTGGTGGCCTCTGGTAATGCCTCTGGTCCCCAGTCATCTTCAAAGCCCCCCTACATTCATCTCCCTCAATGGCTCCCGCCTCAATCACCTCCTGCTGGACAGCCACTCGGGCCATGTCTACGTGGGTGCGGTAAATGTGCTCTATCACCTTTCCGCAGAGTTGCAGCTGCTCTCTTGGGGCAAAACGGGGCCTAAACTAGACAGCCCAGACTGCCTACCACCCATTGACCCCACTGATTGCACCCAGGCGGAAACCACAGACAACACTAACAAGCTTCTGTTACTGGAAGAGGTCAAAGGAGGGTATCCACTCAGCCTGATTGTGTGTGGGACGGTCCTGCAGGGCATCTGCGAGAAGCGAAACTTGGAGAACGTCTCTCAGGTGCTGTATAAGACTGACAACCCTGTGGACACGCAGTATGTGGCGGCAAATGACCCTCGAGTGTCCACTGTTGGGGTGGTGGTGGAGCAGAAAGGTGTTCTGCTTATGCTCGTTGGACGGGGCTACACCAGCAAAGGACCTGGTGGGATCCCACCAATCACGATGCGGCGCTTGGCCCCAGTTGCCCGTCATTCTGCGCCAGCGTTCTCTCACGAAGAACTTGGAAAGCTGGTCGTAGGTAGCTACTCCGAATACAACAACCACTTTGTGAAAGCACTCCACCACAACAACTACGTCTACTTTGTGTTCTCTCGGCGCGACGTGTGGGGCAAACGGGAGTATCGGACGTACGTTTCGAGACTCTGTGCGGGCGACCCCAACTTTTACTCTTACGTGGAGGTGCCGCTTTCCTGCGGCGGAGGATACAACCTGGCACAGGCGGCCGTGCTTGGGACACACCGTGAGCAACCCGCGCTGTTTGTGGCCATGGCTAAGGGACAAGCGTCGACTCCCACGCCCACAGACAAGTCGGCTCTTTGCGTGTACATGGTGGAGAATCTGGATAAAGCCCTGCACAGCGCCCAGCTACTTTGTTACACACAGGAAGGCAAAGACGGCAATAACAAGGAGAAGGTGTACATTGAGTACGAAGTGTCCTCCAAGTGTCTGAGGCTCCCGCCGGTAAGTTTTTTTTGACCTGGGTTTTTACAGTCTTTCCTCAAATAGGATTACAACCCCCCTGAAATTCATCATGTTGTTCTCAAAGGGTCTTTGATGGCTCTGCCAACTGATCCAACAAAATTGAAATTTTGCTCTTTGCCAGTTTTTGTTTTTTTCAGGCTATAGTTCCCTACACCCCTTCCACCATTTAAAGCTACACGGTGTAACTCTTTTAGTTTATTCTTAGCTAAAAACACTTAGTTCTTTCAAAAATATATGTGCTCATTAATGTATATTTACTTCTTTCAAATAATAAAGTATTCTCGTGAGTGTATAATATGCCATTGAAAATACATACGGGTAAGGGGTTCTAATGTCGGTCGCCATGTTGCCCCTCCATCTTGAAAGTACATTAGTCAAAGAGGGACATACCCATTAATTCAAGCTTCGCCTTTCGCGTTTACGTTTGAGCAACACTCATGGACGAGGTCGAACTGGAAGCCATGTTAATCTTGGACTACATTGGCCACCGTAGGAGCTAAAACGAAATCGGAATTGAGAGGAACAGAAACTAATATTCGCTGGATGGTCATATATAGGGTTGGGTATCGAGTATCGATTGGAACCGGGACTAACTTTTCGTTTTTCCCGGAATCGTGCAAAAGTTAAAATTTCGATTCCTAGTTTCGATATTCACAGTCCGCTGAGCGGAAGAAGAAACCACTGAACAACACCAACGAAGAAGCGTCTACCGGAAGTGTTGGCATAACCGCGCGAGTCGAACATGAGCAGCTTACGTCGGCAGTCCAAAGTGTGGCTTCACTTTTCTAAAAATAACGAAATCTCGGCAAAATGCAAAATTTGTGACAACAGGAGTATTTGTGAGAGGAGTATTTCCTTCAGAAAGACCGTTGGTTAGCAAGGTTAGCTAAACTTTTTTGACCCTGCCTCTTAAAAGAATCGGAATCGAGAATCGTTAGGAACCGGAATCGGAATCGGAATCGGAATCAGAAATCGTTCAAATTCAAACGATACCCAACCCTAGTCATATACCTTTTCACCGCTAGATGGGGGTAAAAATCACACAGTGTAGCTTTAAAATCAGTTCCACTTTAGACCCCTTCAAATAACAGCTTAATTTAAACATTAGCCAATAAGATAGTGGTGTAGGCTGGTGTTTAGGCTTATTTTGCCTATCTCTGACAGTTGTACCCGCCTAGCCCAGCATGGCTTCAAAATACTTTCTACTAGCAGACGAAGGGAGTGGTCCCATGAATGTAGCGGCTTTTAATGAGGGGTAAATCCGCAGCTAAAGAGCGATAAGTAGGAATATAGGGAAAGCCACAAGATATCGGCCCATTAGCCGGGTCGTGTAAGACAGCATGGCGTGTGGTTTCTTGGCGACAGATCAGGGTCAGCTGGGGCTTTTTTGCGACGGGTGTAAGTCTGGGCGAGTGGCAGCTGCCTCAGTGCTGACACAGATTAGCGTCCAGCTGCCTGCGCCAATGCTAATCCGCACGGCATAACAAATGCAGCGGTATCTCCCAAACTTCTGCATGTCACTAGGCTGATTCTAATGATCCGCTCGGAGATTTTTCCATCTTTGGTTTGTGCAACCGTAATGGAATGGCCATTTAGCGTAACAAAACAAGTTAGTGAACTGTAATTTTGGGTATACAGTGGTTTGTGTAGTTTATGGGTGACAAATGAGAGCGAAATCTAAATGGGTTTTGTTAGGAGGAGGAAAGTAGGTATGGGGACTAATGGAGAATGGCTAATGTTCAATTCATGTGTCTCTTGCTGTGTGGAAGGGGGTAGTGTGTATTAGTATGAGCTTGGGAATGAAAAGGACGGAGTAGTGTGTATGTGTGTAGCCTCTGGGAGGTGGTTAAATCCAGCTTAACGCTGCAGCTGGTTTGAGTTTCGCTGACCCACATCCTCTCTGAGCTCACTGGCCCAGTGACCAACACCCACAGAAGCCCACTGAACCGATGACCTTAAAGAAATAATAATGTCACCACATTTGGGGTGTACAGTTCACTAGAATGTCTAATATATCAGACTTCTGTCTGCTAGTCAGCTAAAACCTGCATTTGCTGATATTAGGCAATCTTCAAATCAGTTTTGGAGGAAGTCACCATGTGCATTATAATTCAAACGCTTATGTTCAAACCTGTGTGACTTTATGAAATTATAAAGATAGTACAGCAATGCATGGAAACTACAGACTGGAATGAAATTGCATGGAAGATAGTTCTCCTTTTGCCAAGGTTATTAAAAAAGTAAAAGTTCATTATGTTCATGTTGCAATTTTAACAGTTATTGCCTCAATAATTCATAGGCAGATTTGCAGAATGGCTTCTATTATCTTGTTTCAAAGCAGTGGGTGCGTTTGGTGTTCCTGTATTTGACTTCACTTGCGTGCCACCGTTCCACTGTCCCATGTGGCCACTCCCCTTGGTCTGTTCGCTGAGGTATTGTGTCCGTCCGTCCTCTGACAGCTGCAATTCTAGAATAGCATTAGGTCAGGACACACAGGCCCATGGCTGGCTCCAGTTAGTGCATCTAAAAATCACTCCCAGCCATGGATAGTTGATGGGTTATGTTTGACAGACATCATTATAAAAGCAGCTGAGCTTTTTAAGTATTGATTTTTATGCACATGGCAAGGACAGGATGTTTCTGGCACTATCCAAATGTTAAAAGTTGACTTTGGAAACTTTGTACTTGCTCAGATTTAGAGCTCAGACTTAATATTCTACTTGCATTTTGGATTTTAATTGTCTATAATGTCGCCGCTTAGGGTTCTTGTCTTAATATTGTTTGCATGTGGGCACACAGCTGTCTGTCTGTGTGATTAGCCCAAACCTCATTATTTCCAAAACATTTAACATTCATTAATTCCTAAACTGTTTGTAAATTGGACTAAATTCAAAGTACAGCCATGTTGCGTATATTAGAAACTGGATGCCATTTCATGTAAACTACCAGTCAAATGTTTGGAAATACCTACTAATTATTATTATTATTATTTTGTTTCCGCATCTTAGGATAATAATAGCAAATCATAAACACAAAAGTTGATGTTTTTTTTTCATAGTTTTAAAGCATCTTGCTGTCTATATTCCAGTTCTGCACAGTCTGGACCTTTTTTTTTCGACCAAATTGATATGCTGCATCCTTGGATGGTTTTTAATTATTGAAGAAGTAATATGCTGGGCAGATTTTCCCTTCACTATACAGGCAAACCCATCTATTAAATTAAAAATAGTCTACAAAACTATTTAATTAGGTTGACCATATTTTGATTACCAAAAACCAGGACACTCGGTCCGGCAAACAGAGACTCAAATGATACTCGAAGTTTACTCCAAGATGCCTTATTAATTTCAATACATTTAAAGTAGGCTATGCCTCCTCTGTATGGATTGACAATTGCTATATTACAAGGCACAAATTCAGATGGGCTTCTCAGAGGTTACTCGACATGTTTTATCATGATAGGTTTCAGAAATGATGATAGAAGTAATGTCTCTTCTGTATTAGAAAAATAAATATATAAATAATAAATGACTAAAAGAAACACCTCCAAATTGAATAAAAATAGCTCTCACAAACGTACAAAAATATATTTATATCGTTAGTTTATATCGGCTGTTTTTCTTTCTCATCCTCCTTGTTTGCCCATCTATATTTTGCTGTAGAGCTGATCTTTCCCAGCAGTTTTTTGAAAACCAGGACATTTTCATCACTTTATAAAAAACAGCCAGGACAGGGCATGAAAACAGGACTGTTTATCACCCTAATTTAATAAATTCAAGCATACGCATTAAAATCAAAATGGTTTTGAAGATCCAAGTGTCAATTGTCCACATTTTGTCACTAGTAGTCAATATTTTCTTTCCTACGGTCACTGTCAATAAAGGTAGGCTGAAATTAATTCCTCTGCCTACTGTCACAGAGAGTCCTCTGTGCACTAAATAAAGTTGTCAGCAGTGGCGTATAATCAGTTTATGGGTGTGAATCGAGAATGGGTCCTTATTCAGAAGTAATGCGTGTATAAATATGCCGGAACTGAATGGTCTTCATGACATTTGGCTCCCTTTACAGCCTGCATTCTTCCACTAGCGGAGACAGAGCACCGTACTAAAACCGTACTGACAGTGTTTTCATGCACCATTGCTCAACCACTATTGAATCAAAAGTGCCAAAAAAAAATCGTGTTTTTGCCAAATTGTGAGGTTGCAGCCTGAATTGAATGTGATGAGAGCCAGCGAGAGAGAGAAACACTGTTGAATTCCCAAATATTACAATTCCTAATAACTTTGAACTGCGAATGATGAACATATTTCGGTGATGGATGTAGGTAATGTAATGTTTTTGGGTCATGCAGGACTCTCTGAACGAGTACCCATGCGGAGGCGAACACACGCCCAGTCCCATCGCCAGTGCCATTGCACTCGAGGCCACGCCCGCTTTCACCTGGACTCCTCCCATCACTGCCGTCACCTCCGCAACTGAGGTCGGCCACACCATAGTACTGCTAGGAGACAAAAGCGGGAAGCTCCATAAGGTATGACTCACTGCTATTTATTACTGGCCATATAACATGCTATTTTTCATCATGTATCACGCTTTAGTGGAACTAAACCTGCAATTTTGTGTTAGCAGCACAAATCACAAATCACTGAATCATAATTGGAAAAATCAGCATGAACAACTGCATTTTAAAGAGTGTTTACCATCATTAAAGAAAAGACTTCTTCATTGAAAAGCAAACACATGGAGTAATCATAATCTGTCATTAAGCACTAACTTGCCAGTAATGAGCAAACCTGCCTACAGCATGGTAATATTATGTTATTAGAATCGGTTGGTTCAGAGAGAGTTCAGCGAGTGTGGATTACATTATTTATCAGGATAAAGTTTGGGAGGGTATGAGCATGTCCTTGCCGCAAAAATGGGATGAGAAACAGTTTTTGGGAATGCATTGTTATGTGGACACTTTTGTATCCTTTCAATGAGGCCTACAGTTGAAGGCCACTAGAGTTGAGACAGTGTATTTAAAGATTACCTTTTAAACCAGAAAAACATAAGACGTTGCGTTTGGTGTTTAGCTGTTATTTAAAGGAGTTGTTCACTTTTTAAAAAAACTTTTGCTGATAATTTTTCTCAACCCCATGTCATCCAAGATGTCCATGTCTTTCTTTCTTCAGTCGAAAAGAAATTAAGGGTTTTGATGAAAACATTCCAGGATTTTCTCCATATAATGGACTTCTTTGGGGACCAAACGGTTCAAACAGGTCCAAATGAGAGTTTCAGTGCAGTCTCAAAGGGGTTTAAACGACATCAGGCGATGAATAAGGGTTTTATCTAGCGAAACGATCAGTCATTTAAAAAATAAATTAAAAAGTTTATGTTTTATAAGCACAAATGCTGCTGTTCGCTTTGCTTGCTGTTTAAACTGGTTCATCAAAATGAACAAATCTTTTTTTCGAGTCATGACTCGAAGGGTCCTAGATAAGACCCTTATTCATCGTCTGGTGTCGTTTAAAGCCCTTTGAAGCTGCACTGAAACTCTCATTTGGACCTTTAACTGTTTGGTTCCCAATGAAGTCCATTATATGGAGAAAAATCCTGGAATTTCTCCTTAATTTCTTTTCGACTGAATAAAAAAAGACATGGACATCTTGGATGACATGGGGGTGAGTAAATTATCAGCAGAAGTTTTTTTCTAAAAGTGAACTACTCCTTTAACCGGACAAGAGAGTGCATGCATGTCTTAAGCTCCTGCTCTCTTAAAGGCTGAACAGTGTAGAATTAATTCATGAGTCATGGAAGGTGAAAAGAAATACATGATGAGCAACTCTTATTCTTTGCACGCTAGGATTTGGTTCAAATTACCCAAAACTCACACGTTCTTCTGTGGAACACAACGAAACTTTGAAGAATCTTCACGCAGAGGTTTTATCTACGACAGACCTTTCAAGCCCCACAAAAGAGGTCTGCACAACGTATGCTCTATATTTCAACAAGATTAAAAGGAGCTACATTTAATACTGAAAATCTTCCCTTCTGGCGAAGCTCTAAAATGGCATTGAAGTTGCATTGAGCTTAAATAACTATAGTCTTCAGATTCAAATAATGATAATTTTTTTCCTTTAAGATCCTTCAGGTAGAAGATCCTCGTGCAACATATTCATTCAGTCTTGGGGAACTTAGTTTTCACCTTTTTTGTTTGTTTTTAGGCACAGAAATGTTTTGATGTGCCAATTTTGCCCACTTTTAATCAAGAATGTGGGGTATTTACAGCTTGTGGTTGGCCCAGTCTAGCCTGAAGCTGGTGTGATTGTGTGTGCATACAGAAGGGAGTGTGTGTGTGTGTGTGCCTCATCAGCATGAGAGGACATGTTCTGAATGCTTATTGTAAGCGCCTTGGGGAGAAGCGATCTCAGGGGAGCCGGTCACATGCGGCGCGCTCTGGGTCGGCTGATAGGGGTGGTGGCAGCGGCACTTGGAGTTTTTCATCCCTCAATCCCCTCCGGTGCTGTATGAAATATTAACGGCGAAACTCTGAAACAGCAGCTTGTTTACCGCCCAAATATCTCCTCAGGCAAAACTTCTCACAGACAGCCCACGGTATCACTTCTCCTGCCTGCGAGATGCTGAAAAACACACCGGCCTGCTGAGACTGCAATTCGCCTGAGCTTTGTGGCCAATGAGTGCGTCTTCTTTATATGCATGTGTATGCTTTAGTTCATACTTTTGATTAAAATTAATTGTAAGAATTCAACTTTAGCACATAATTCGCCATGCAGCACTTGTCCTAAAGTCGGCATGAAATGAAAACAGCAATAGTCGTTTCTTCTGTACATATAACAGTGTACATTACAGTTTCTTTTGTGACGTATAACAGTGAAACTGCTTCTCAAACAAGAAAAATGAAGGGCAGAACTTGATTTTGTCTGTCGGGAATTGATAGGATCAATGTGATAGGATCAATTAAAAATAAGGATTGTCCAGTTTGATTTTGTGGCTGGTTGTAGAAAGTTGTGTTATTACTTTAAAGGTCCCGTATTAGAGATTGATATGTAAAATAAGTCTCTGATGTCCCCAGAATGTATATTTGAAGTTTCGGCTCAAAATAGCCGACAGATCATTTTTTACAGCATGTTTAAATTGATATTTTTTGGGCGTAAAAAAACACGCTAATTTAGTGTGTGCCCTTTAAATGCAAATGAGCTGCTGCTGCCGGCACAGGGGGCGGAGCTTCATGTCTCTCAGGACAATTTCATCTCACAGAATGAGGATAATGGGCTATATGCACGCATAAGTTCCGCATTTGACGTAAGGATGCTCGTCCATTTCCGGTTGTGTAGATTAAAGCGGAGGAAAACCGGAGAAAACGGGATTATGGCAGAGTCTTCAATATTTACTGTCCTCCCGTCTTTGAAACGAAACGTACATACGTTTAGATGTAATTTTATATACAGTTATGTTTATTTAATATAATTTTAAAAAGAAGCATAAACACAACGAGGGGTGTCTGTTTTATCTGTTTTTGTGACTAATGTTTCATTAGTATAACCATGGAGTATAAAATTCAATATAAATTCTCGCTATTGCATTGGACTCTATGATCGGCGGAAGTTATCGAGCATCCCTAATGCTTCACCGGAAATACCGCCGTGCATAGAGCCCATATCAGAAACTCTCAGTAACGGTGTTCATTTCGAGTCGGACAATAATGCCTACAGAGTCAGAGTGATGTATAGAGATGGAAGAGGTATAGTTTAGTAGTTTAATTACGGTTATTATAACGTATTTGTCATCTGCTTCTGCGTATCCATTATTTATCAATAGCCTACAAGTCTGCTGTTTCAGACCAGGTCCGAATGATGATCAAACATATACTGATGAGTTTAATAACGTTTATTGTACATCACACTAAAGATGAAGTGTCAGTTTTACTTCAGAAAATCACCGTAAGAGCTGAGTAAACACAGCAAGTTATAAGAAGTGCAAGTTGAGGGAGCATTCCTGTGGGCGTCATTAAAGTCGTCCAAACGGGCCGTTCGATGTAGGCTACTTATTTCTGCTTGGCATTGAACTTTGAGCTTTATCATTTTACAGATCTTATTTATACTCTAACACAGTGTTGTAGTCGAGACCACCTCACTCGAGTCCGAGTCGACACCGAGACCAGAGAGAGTCGAGTCCGAGTCAAGACCGAGTCCATAGAGAGTCGAGTCCGAGACCAGAGACGGTCGAGTCCGAGCCGAGACCGAGACCAGTGAGGGTTGATTACCTAATTTACTTTTATTTACTTAGAGAAATCCTTTTTTTTTTTTTTTTTTTTTACTGAATTTACTTAGAGTTTAAAAAATATGATCAGTTTAGGGTAAAAAGGCCACATAGTAGGTGGTGTTAAAAGTAATTTTATTACAATTTGTCATGCGCAGTTGCGCACTAGAAAATCACCAATCACTGGGCGTGTCAATCAATTTAAAGAAATATTTTATTAACATACATTAATAATCATGAAAAATATTTTTAATTGAACTCGAGTGGACTCGGGAATAATTCCGAGTCCTAAAAAAAAAAAATGTTCGAGTACGAGTCAATTCCGAGTCCAAATGGACACGAGTCCATGACAAGACCAAGACCATTAAAATATGGTCTCGAGACTGAGTCCGAGACGAGTCCGAGTCTCGAGTACTACAACACTGCTCTAACAACAACATTACACACTAACTAAAGTTTGAAACATGGGATCACGAAGAACAGGACCTTTAATAAGCAATCAGACTTCATGTGCCTTTTATTTTTTGCAGGTGTTCCTGCATGCAAATGGTACCGGTAGCAAATATAACACCGTGGAGGTGGATTCAGACAGTCCCATTAACGCTGACATGCTTTTGGACTCCACCAAACAGAACGTCTACGTATTGACTGAAAGAAAGGTATGAGAGACAAACGGCTTCTTTCAACTGCCAGCAACTGAAACAAACAGCATCTGTTACATGCACGCTCTCTGTAGAGATTACACGTTTACTGTCAAGCATCATTTGAATGACAGATTTTTTTTTTCTCAAGATGAAAGTCTTGGTTTTGTTTCTTGCATTGTCGAGTAATTGCCAGTGGAATCGTCTTGGCAGCCAATCAGAATCGGAGATTCTTTTTTTACACCGTTCTCTCATGCAAAAGTTGCGTTCTCTTGCATTTTATCAGTTTGCAATGCAAGAACGGTGCTCAGGGCCTCTGATTTTTGTGTGTGTGTGTGTGTTTCAGGTTACAAAGCTCCATGTAGCTCAGTGTGAGAAGCATTTAGACTGCCACTCCTGTCTGGCTAATCGAGATCCCTACTGCGGCTGGTGTTCGCTGGAGGGCAGGTACTTGAGCTCACCTGATTACTGTTACACATCACTGCCTGCTCTTTCAACACTCCCTTCCTATCAGGCCGCACCTCTCGTTTTACATAAACAGTGCATTTAATCATATGGCGATCATTTCCATAGATCATATTTGATATTCATAATTTTTTCAACGACTTCTGCTTCCACAGAACAGCAGTTGTGTTAAACTGTTTTTGGCTGTTTATGCAACCCTTTTTGTTTGGGGATTATTCTAGGGATCATTATCAGAATAAGATTTAATACTACACTAACATTCAAAGGTTTGAGGTCAGTAAGAAGGACGTTTTTTTTTTTTTTTTTTTTTTTTGGAAGAAATAAATAGTGACTGTAAATACAAAAAAAAAATGCTGTTCATCATAGAATCCTGAAAAAATTAGCACGGTTTCCACAAATATTAAGCAACACAACTGCTTTTAACATTTATTATAAAAAAGGTTTCTTGAGCTGCAAATCAGAAAATTAGATCGATTTCTGAATGATCATGTGACGCTCAAATTGCAATGAGAACCAAAGTGACTAAAACAACTCCATGATCGTAGTCTATGCAACTTGTGTGCTATATTCCAAGTCTTTGAAACTATATATGCAAACTTTTTGTGAGGAACAAACCAACATTTAAGTTATTCACAAATAATCATCCTCTCTGCTCTCAAATCTCATGCATTTTATCGTGATCAGGCAAGTTTTCAGGCAATATCGTCTGTTTTCACACAAAGCTTTCGTATTTCTTTAGAATGAAGTTTTTTTTGATATTTTAAAAGCTTTGTTTTGGAGCTTGACATCATAAATAAACAGAAGATCATATATTGTGACAAAATAATGGTGTCTGAACTACATGAGGGCTGCGGGTCATTTTTGTGTTTTATTTTCTCAATCTAATCTTTGAAGGGACTCTTCAGTTTATTCAATTTAGCTGTAACTCTCGACAGACCCTTATCTCATTGTGTGTTTGTGTGTGTGTATTAGATGTACGCGGAAGATGGATTGTGCACGGCATGCCCAGCTGCACCACTGGATCTGGAGTTACGGTCATGAGCGCCAGTGTGTGTCTATAGAGAGCCTACAACCCTCCATCCAAAGCAGAGAAGAACAGACACGGGTACATTCCCAGATCACCTCCCACTCTCCACTGTCACATTTTACTCTGTGAGGTCTTCATTGCAGCCTATTTTAGCCAAGAAACGCCCATTTAGACAGGAATTGACTCCCTGACCAACCGTAACACTGTGGCTAACCAGGCATGATGTGATAGCAGAAAGCAATTAAAGCAATCTCTTCCATTTTTATCAGTTTTTTTATTCTGATAAAGGCTGCAAAATACAAAATACACTTAGATTTATGATGAAATCTCATTGTTCCAAAGTCCTGCTTCTCATAACAATATTTTAAATCTCATAACAGTATTTTAAATATATTGTGCCTCATTAGAGCATTTTTGATTTTGTTGGGGATAGTGTTGTTCTCACTGAATATTTGTAACAAACACTGTATACATGTTTGTATATATGTGTATATATACACGATTAATCACATCCAAAATAAAAGTTTGTGTTTATATAATATATGTGGGTGCACTGTGTATAATTATTTTGTATGTATAAAAATACACACACATGCATGTATATTTAAGAAAAAATATTATTTATATAGAAAATATTTATAGTTCTATATAATAAAAATATATATATAAATCTATATACAGTGTATACATGAAAATATTTCTTAAATATATACAGGCATGTGTGTGTATTTATATATATGTATATATAATTATACACAGTGCACCCACATATATCATGTAAACAAAAACTTTTATTTTGGATGCGATTAATCACGTTAATCATTTGACAGCCCTAATATATATATATATATATATATTCTGCTATAGTACTTATATTCAGCTAGGATGATCAGGATTATATATAACCAGTAATATATTCTACTTATATTCATCTAGGATGATCCGTAAATAGGTAATGACTTTTATTATGTTACAAAAGATTTCTGTTATAAATAAACACTGTTCTTTTGAACTTTCTATTTATCAAAGAATCCAGAAAAAAACAAAATGTCATGGTTTTCACAAAAATATTAATCGGCACAACTGTTTTCAACTTTGAAAATAGTTAGAAATGTTTCTTGAGCAGCAAATCAGCATATTAGAATGATATCTGAAGGATCATGTGACTAAATGCCTCTATATACGATTAGCAAATAACAAATCATGTTCATAACTGTGATGTAAACTAAAATCTATTGACTAAAGTTTTTATTTATTTAATAAAAAAAAAAAAAAACGGAACTCTTACTTTAGTAGTAAATGCATCAATATTCAATACAAGACCGAAATCTGCGCTCGAGGTCTTCAGTTGCACAATAACATTCGTGTGAGGGGTCAGGAACAGGTCTGACTGGTTGTTTATGCAGTACTCTGGGACGACTACATAGCCTGAAAACTTTGCACCAGCATCCAAACAAAAGTATTGACAATATCTCCTATTAGTATTCTAAGAGCAAGCAAGGCCTTGCACACTCTTAAAATGGCCATTAGATATCTGATCTATTGTTTTCTTCTGTGCTTTCAAGGTCTCTTTCACAGTTCTACAGTTGCCAGTCTTGTCAAAGGATGAGTCTCTATCTTGCGCTTTTGGAAGTTTGGCTGCTCAGCCTGCGGTTGTCATGGAGAACAGAATCACATGTCAATCACCAGCACCAGAGCAGCTCCCCCCGAGTCCACCAGGCAACGGTGAGCCACGCGGACGCCATCGCATTGCCAAGACAGTTTTATCCCAGCAACCAGTTGTTGAGCCGAGGGAATGAAACCCAAACCACTTCTTTTCAAGAGAGTGTGCTTCAGTTACATCCACAACACATTTTTTTTATTATTCTTGGTAATCTGAAACTAGCTATCTACGTGCACAAGCACATTCAGAGATAACCAGCTTCTTAGAATATGTTTGCTTGCATGTTTGCAGAAATTTAAAGATGATACTATTGATTTTACTGACGTTGAATCTGGGTTACAGGGATTATTTTGACGTAGGGTTTTAGCTTATCTTTTGTGCAACTAGAAAATGTCAATCTGCCAGGACTCTGTACTAAAGCTTTTAGGCAAACAGTTCTGAGATCCTGACAATGCATTGTGCGCCTCTCTAGGGTATACAGTAGATCAACAGTATTTACTGTACAGGGATGGTTAAATCCATGTTAAATATTGAATAGCATTTACTCTCTTTTCAAGCTGAAAATTCTAGGGAAAAAACACTAACTGGTTATTATATCATTTGCTCTGCTGATATTTCACATGAATCTGTTTATTTGTAGATCACGTATCCGTTCGAATGGCACTGAAGTTTGGAGACGTGACCATCTCGCACACAAATATCACCTTTTATGACTGTAAAGCAGTCGGACGGCTCAACGCTACTTCACCGTAAGATAAAAGTTCATGCTCTGGCCCACTTGTAAATAAACCCACACATGCATAACACACCGTGGAAGAATTTAAATGCATGTATCATTAAAAACAGCATTTTCTTTTATAAGTAGTTTGGTGAACTATGTAAACATGATTGCACACAACACTCCACTTTCACAGAAACTAACTAGAGCCTAACCGATATTAGGCATTTTCTGAACTATTGGTATTGGCATTTATAATGGCCGATAAATTAATATTTTAAAAAATGCGGGTGCGGTGATTCATGTAAGGGTGGTGCAGCTGGCGCTGCCAATACAACCCATGAAAGCTGTCACAAATAATGTCAAATGTCAAATATATCATCAAATATAGCAAGGAGACATTTTAAATGTTTATTGATAAACAAGTGTTTTCAGTAAATGTCCTGCAAAGATCTTCAGTGAACACGCCAGAGAGAAATACACATTTCATGCGAATTACATAAGTAGAAAGCAGTCTGTCTTTTGTTTTGAATTATTCTGCCTAAAAGTACACATTTCAATATTACTTTAGTAAGACAAGTTCTTCCTCCACTAGAGATTAGAGGATTAAGACTAAAAATAGAAGATAATAAGGTTTTGTCAGTGACTCTTTTGATATATTTATTGATACAAGTTATGTTTTATATAATTACTAAATTAAAAGACAAAGTCGTTAGTGAAGATTATGCAACAGTATTTATGATATAACATAATATGAAATGAAAACTAGTTTGGTTACTGCTCATATGTGTTTGATCACCACATTTGAGTGATCATTGCAAAACGTTTATATATTCTTTCTGTTTATACTGTGTATACTTTATACAGTATCCATCAAAAGTTCGTACACACCAATAGGAAAGTGTCCAAACTTTAATAAATAATATTTCTACTGTATTATAATATACACAAATAATATCGGCCGATATATCGGTATTTTACTCCCTAATATCGGTATCGGCATCGACACCCCAAAAATCCATAACACCGTTTTGACATCACACTCACAAGCTCATTGAAATGTTTATATATCAATACCTTGTTACTTGATATGTCCGATTAAATGAGATTGAGTGATGAATTCCAATCATAAAGGTCTTTAAGCTGATCTAGCATAAACGACCTGTTTATGTGAATCTCATACGACCTGTAATAAAGAAAAAAAGTAATTATGTTTTGCTTAAAAAAATGAAGCTAACTTTAAATGACTTTTCTCAGCAATTAAGCAAGTTAATTTGCATGACTAGAATGCAAAAAAAAAACATTATTTAAAAAATGGCTTTTAAATTTTAAAGTACTTATACATCAGGATAATATTTGTTATGCTGTCTTTAATTTTTATGCTTATTTAAATGAAAAGCATTTGTTTTCCTTATTTTTTATGCTAAATGTTGTGTTTTGTTTTCATGACTTAATTGGCTTAATTCTAAATGGGTCTTGGCAAGAGAGTGTGGACAATTAGTGAAAAATTTAAATATGACTGTTTGGTACAAAAAACTTTGACTTTGACATTATAAATGTACTAGAATTTAATATGACTGTTATATGACCACACATACTGGCTGATCTCTGATTCATCGTATCATATGCGATCTTCTGCAGATGCATGGCGTGTGTTAGCAGTATGTGGCCGTGTCACTGGTGTGTGAAGGATGAGCGCTGCACTCATGATAAGAACTGCTCCCCTCAGCACATCATCTATAACAGCAGAGTAAGTGTTCGCTCTCTCCAAGGGGTTTCATTTCATAACCATTTACTTGACAGTCCACAGGGTCACGACCTCTCATGATATGTGTTAATGTTGTTATTATGCTTGGAGGTCATCAGCATAGCTGTCAACCCTCCCGTTTTTTCCGGGTTTCTCACGTATTTTTGCTCTTTTCCCGCTGTCTTCCCGTTTTAGTATCTTCCCGTAAAATATCCCGTTTTTTTACTATGATTGTGTGAGACGTTCGAGCTCGGGCTGATTCGGCTTGAAGTCGTTTATCCTCGGATGCGGCGCCGCGCGCGCTGGCCGGAGACACACTGGCTGTGTGGCTTTAATTTCGGCTCCCATGTTAACAGATTAGAGCTTGCACACTGCCTGCGTGACACGCGTCTCCAGAAAACGCGTGCATGCTAGAAATAGAACTGACGCCTATTTTTTCAAGCGACATGCAAGCGTGTTGAAAGCGTTTCCAGGCAAAAAAATAAATAAAAAATAGGAAACGATGTTAATATGTCATTTTGTACTCGAATAGCCTACATTTTACATTTTGATGTTTGAAAGTCAAGGTTTTTACATAAATTCAGATATCAATGTAATTTAAACAAATAATAATTATAATAATCGATTTATATTGCCATTAGTTTTGCCTATATATAATTTAAGGTCATTTAACATATGAATAAAATATCTTTTCTTTTTTTTTCCATTTGTTTCTTATGCTCTTAACAATGTGATTACACGAAGAAGAAGAAAAAACTTTTGGAAAAAAACGTTCTGGGCCTCAGGAGGATAAAGATACGATAGGCTACAATAACAACAGTGTGTCTTCTGAGTGACGGTCCACCACCAGGCTAAATATAGGCTCTTTAAAACTACACAAAATGTGTAAATGTAATTGAAATAAACAGACAGCCCACTTCCCTATTTTGTGGGTTTTGGAAGATGTGATAACAGTTGAAATTGTTGTCGCAAAGGCAAGAGCAACACACCGCTAATCCAAATGTAGATTTTTTTTTTTTCTTTAAATGACACTAGTTTCTAGGCTAGTTATTAACTCTTTAGACTTTTAAGGATTGTGCTTTATTTTTAAAGTTTGTGGGTAAGAATCGTGTAAAAAAAAAAATCCCTTATTTTGGGGATGGATTCCGGGAAAACTCCCTTATTTTCAGTGTTCAATGTTGACAGCTATGGTCATCAGTAATGCTTTCTGCTGACAGGAAACAGGAATATATCCAAAACATTTTTAAAAGTACCATGTTTTTGTGGGACATGTTGTCATGGTTTTCTTTAAATACCTTGAAGAACAGTATCTATCCATCCATCCATCCCACAAATACCTTGGTAAAACCATGGATAACATGTAAATACAATGGTATACTGTATAAATATGGTCATCATTCTGTATCATAATATATATCAGAGTACTATGGTATTAACATCAGATACATTTGCTATTTTATAAAGGGCCACATTCATTATTGTTACTGTAAAGCTGTGGTAAATTGGTATCAGTTAGGGATCGACCGATTATCAGCCTGGCCGATTATCGGCGTCGATATTAAGCATTTTTATGGTTATCGGTATCGGCCATTTTCAAAATATCTAAATATGTTTAAATATGTTTATATCGTTTATATCGAGATATATATATTAGGGCTGTCAATTGTGTTTACATAACATATGTGGATGCACTGTGTTTCATTATTTTATATATATATATATATATAAATACACACACATGCATGTATATTTAAGGAAAAAAATATTATTTATATATAAAATATTTATATATAATATAAATTATATATAAATCTATATACAGTACAGAAAAATATTACTTAAATATATACAAGAATTTGTGTGTATTTATATTTATAAAATAATTATACACAGTGCACCCACATATATTATGTAAACACAAACTTTTATTTTGGATGCGAATCGTTTGACAGACCTAATATATATATATATATATATATATATCGGTTCAAAACATCGGTTATCGGTTTAGTATCAGTCTCCACATGCCACACAATAACTGTATAAAGGTCATCAATTATGAAATTAGTTAAATTTATTGAAGCAGCTCTGCAGAAAACAGTGAGGTCATAATCCAGCTCAGTTTTCATCTAATAGTGTTAGTCACTGCAGTCAAATAAATAATACTGCTGAATGTTGTTGTTATATTATTATTACTTGTTTAAACTGTTGTAACTTAAATACCACGTGCCTCCTCTGTTTTGTGATCTTCCAAAAGCAATTTTTTATCTTTGGTGGCTAATTTGCAAGATTATTGTTTTCAAAATGTATCATGTTTGTCTTAAACGCAGTGGCAGAAATCATGCAGTCACGTCTAAATTTGGTCCGTCCAATCAAATTGCACCTTCCGCTGATCATTTGCATTAAACCGAAATCTAACCAACCCAAAGAAGTAGGTGCAGCTGACCTTTGCCCTCAGTTAAACACTTATTTTCTGTGTGTGTGTGTGTGAACAGGAGCAGTCAACACCCCGCGGGCCTGACTCTTGCCCCTGCGTCTGGGCCCTGCAGAGCTCCCCTCTGGTTCCTGTTGGCTTTGACACCGAGCTCTCTCTACAGGGCAAAAACCTGGACATTTTTGAGGTGATGCCCATCTGCCATTTATCATTTCACCCCATCCATCCGTTGGCCTTGACGTTTCATGGCTGTGCATTTTAAAAGGCCATTATTCCCAGGTGTTCAGGAGGGTCTGGGTGAACTCATTTATGATAATGCATCTGGAATGAGGAAGGGGGCTTTAGAGACGGCTCGTGATTAGCGTTTGATTGTGTGATATTCTGAACAGGATGAGGAAGATTACGTGTGCGTGCTGGTCATCGAAGGCCAGGAGCTGAGTTTGCGGGCCACGTTGGACCTCAGCAAAGAGACGGGGACGCATGTGTTCAAGTGCGCCGCTCATCAGGTGATATTAATAGCGCCCATTTATTCAACACAGCATCGGATCACACCACAGCCGCTGCAGTTAATATAGACTTGTGTGTGACGTCTGGACTGATAATAGCTGTAATTTATGACACCGGCCAGAAAAACAACAATTTAAACATGGATTTGTTTATGGTGCCACACATAATTTGTCTGCATGCACCTGGCTGATTATACATTGATTGTGTGTGTGTATATGTGTAGTTTGGCTTCTCAGGAAAGCAGTTTGTATATTCCGCTCCTGTATACCTGCAGCGGGGGACGCAGCGTATAGATTCAGCACCACATCTCCGCTGTGAGTACCATGTTTCATTCACTGAACATTTATCAAATTAACTCTCTTGTTTCTAAACAATGTACTTACTTATTTGCACAACTTAATGCTTAAAAATGATGAACAGAAATTGTAAAAATATATTAAATAATGATATTTAGAATATACTTATTTATAAAAATGTGATATTCTATTTTATAATATAATATATGGAATATAATATTTATATATTAGGGCTGTCAGTTTAACGCGTTTTTAACGGTGTTAAAGGGTTAGTTCACCCAAAAATGAAAATTCTGTCAGTATTTACTCACCCTCATGTTGTTCCAACCCCGTAAGACCTTCGTTCATCTTCGGGACACAAATTAAGATATTTAAGATATTAAGATCGCTCCTGCATACAGTCCATAGGCTTCTTGAGGGACTGGCTCTTGCTGTCCTCAAAAAGTCATTAAAGACATCGTTAAAATAGTCCAAGTGACTACAGGTGCTCAATCTTAAGTTTATCAAACGACGAGAACACTTTTGTGCGCAAAAAAACAACAAAAATAACGACTTTATTTCAACTATTCGTTTATTTCTCCCTCTGCGCGAGTCAGGTTACTAGTTTAATAGCGTAAGCTTCTGTTATTGTACGTCACACGCATCACACACACATGACCAGCGTCGGCCAATAGTGAGCCTACGTGTGACGTAGCTCTACGCAATCACACTACGTTAACTGACTACAGGCTCATGGAGAAGGAAGTGAATAGTTGAAATAAAGTCGTTATTTTTGTTGTTTTTTTGCGCACAAAAGTGTTCTCGTCGTTTGATAAACTTAAGATTGAGCACCTGTAGTCACTTGGACTATTTTAACGATGTCTTTAATGACTTTTCGGGGACAGCAAGAGCCAGTCCCTCAAGAAGCCTATGGACTGTATGCAGGAGCGATCTTAATATCTTAAATATCTTAATTTGTGTTCCGAAGATGAACGAAGGTCTTACGGGGTTGAAACAACATGAGGGTGAGTAAATACTGACAGAATTTTCATTTTTGGGTGAACTAACCCTTTAACACAAACCCATTTTAACGGCGTAAATTTTATTGTGCGTTTAACAGTCTTTTTGGTCTAGCAAACTTTGTAGTTTTTTTCACATGCTTTTGCAACAGGGGGCGCCATTAAAGCCATTCGCGCGAGGACGTTTTGAAAGCGCAAGCGGATCTAGTTAGACCGGAAACAATACAACAGGCACAACACCGCACACATTTGTTTAGGTTTGCGAGCCGGCCAAATAGTTGGTTAATGTTACGTTTTGAGTGGATGACGAGCGTGAGACGCCGAAATGGACGCCAATAAGATTCTGAATGGAAAGTTTACTTTAAAAAGATGTCAAATGGTCCCATTGACAAGACCAAAGTGATCTGTGTGTTTTGTTGTTGTGAACTGAGCTATCATCATCGCAGCACACACACACACACACACAGCTGATCCCAGTTCTCCGCTCCCTGTCAATATTAGGATCTCGTCAGTATTTCTTTCACCCTTTTATTGACGGAGAAAATAATCTCCCACACTGTCCAAGTGAGAATGTTAGTGTGAAATCGAACACAGTATCGTCAATGTTGTTTCCAATTAAAAAAAAAACATTTGCACAAAGCAAGCCAATCCACTTTTCAATGTTGATAAGAGCATTAAAATGAGAAAAAGAACAGGACAAAAAGAAATCAAGAGACATTTAGAATAGATAAGATTAATTGAAATGAATCACGAGTTACCTGACATTAATATTGTACAATTACAATAAATATTGTAATCGTTTGACAGCATATATGGTATATATATATATATATATATATATATATATATATATATAATGTATAAAAAATTATATAGATATAGATATTAACCTTTTATATATACATATATGAATAATATATTGTATTCTATTTGAATTGTATTCATATATTGTATACATATGTAAGTATATATAACTTTATAATGATTGTCATTAATTATCTAGACTTATATCAGGGATGGATCATCTTGTGCACCTGCTAGAAGACTCTGTCCTCTGATTTGTTTAAATAGGAAAAGAACAACAATTGAGTCATTGATGCAGCTAGTAAGAGTTTTGTATCTGTTGATTGTGAGCTCACAGTGATAGTGTGTGTGTGACTGTGTAACAGTGCAGCTGTACGACTGCTCAGTGGGACAGTCCGACTGCAGCCAGTGCCGTGCGGTTGCGGCCAATTATGGATGTGTGTGGTGTGCCGATGAAACTCCCGGCTGTGTGTATAACCAATCCTGCTCCAGTGAAACCATGGACACCTGTCCCCCTCCTCTAATCACTGAGGTACACGCATGCATTGTCCAAAATTAAATTATGTGAGAAATGTTTTATCATCAACCATGGTTTTGCTAATTACTTGAATATGAATCTTGTTTGCTGCAATGAATAAATATAAATGAAGTGGCATAATATCACAGCTAATTTTGTAATTTGCATAATCATAAACCTGACAGCTTTTGCAAGTCATGGGTTTGATTTCTAGGGAATGCATGAATTGTTAAAACATATATCTTTGGATAAAAGCATCTCCTGAATGCATAAATGTCAATGTGAAAGCAAAAGCTGTCACCAGTCACTGATCTTTTCATAAGTGCAAAGTTTGTGTTGAATGATCTGAAGAGATCAATTTTAAGCGTTCAGTAGAAATCTGTGTGTAGCTTTATAAACTGGTTTTATGCCTTTATTGGTAAATTAAATTCAGGCCTTTATTAATATACTTTATTATTTAAAACATACAAGGCTTAAGACATTTATAAAAATGCCTTCTATATTTCTTTTCCACTGTACTCCACCACAGGCGACTGCACGTACGCAATTGACAATTGGTTATTGTTGGTTACTTGGAAATATTACTGTATATTTCCGTCGTAAGTTTGGTCTTAAATTTAATTTAGAAGAGGTATTAAAAAGTCTTAAAAAGTCTTAAATTTAAATTGTTTATACCAGTAGCCACCCTGAAGCCACCATGCATTTCTATTGTTTTAATTTGCTTCAGTTCTTTTATTAGCATTTATAATAAACCATTTATTCAATCATTTAAATTCAGTCATTTCATCTTTTATGTAATTTGTCATTTTTATATTATATAGTATATATGTATATTATATTTTATATATAGACATTTTATATATTATGTTTATATATTAATTATTAGACAAATATTACATTAAACCCCAAATCTTAACATTAACAAGCAATTGTTGGTTAATGTTAAGATTTTGGGGTTTAATGTAATATTTGCCTTTAAGAGTTAAGAGTAAAATGTCTCCATTTTATGGTTTTATGGAATAATGTGAAGCAGTTTGATATAATATATATATATATATATTTGTTGGATTTGTGCTGGTCAGACGGAGTGAACAAACCACTGAGATTATTCAATAAACCCTGCTCATTTTTATCCTCACTTTGTCTCCCACTTTCTACTCTTCCTTCAGAAGGGTTTCAGACAAAACGGATATCTTTTGACCGGATCTGGTTGAAAGACTGGATCTAGTATTCCTGGTGTAGAGAATCAAAATAAATTTTGGCTCACATAGAAATATTAAAACACTGCAAGGATCAAACAATTGTTGTTGCACTGCCAGTCCAACCTATTATTATTTCACCAGTTCCTAAATAATTATCATTGGGCTGATTTTTTTGCAAACCCATTATTAGTCACATGTGACCCTTGGTGGGTGTTAATTTTGGTCTCTAAATACATTTATACAGGACACTCTGTGTTTTTTACATTCAAATTGAATTTAGAAAAAGGTCAATTAAAGGTGCAGTAAGCAATTTCTGAGAAACGCTGTTGAATGTGGTTCAACCTGAGCACCACAACACAATTGTAGCCAATTAACATTAGGGGTGTGTCCACTCATGGTGGGGGAGGAGAGAGAGTGAGCAAGAGGAAGATTTGAACTGAAGAAAGAGAGATGGCTGAAAGATATGTTGCAGAAATGATTTATTTAGTGGCGAGCCTGCAATGAAAACCAAACCCGTTTGTCTTTGAAGTACTTTATTCTTGCAAGAAGGCCATTCACATACAGACATCAGCTTTTTTATACATCACTCTGTTGTTTCCCTGTTATGCTAATTCAGAAAGAAGATCTATACCCTATAAGGATATTTTATTGTCTTATTCTCTTGACCCAGAGAAAGAGGGATTGTTTAAGAAATGGCCGGATGTGGAATAGACATGTGACACCTTTTGTTGCAAAGACATCATTGGACACAGTAATTTTCCATTAAACTATTGTCACGCAAGCTCATACATTACATGAAGTAAAAATAATTTACAGACGTTACAAAAAAAAGAAAATGTCACAGGAATATCATTGTAAAAAGAAGGGTTATGATCAGTCAAGAGCTTTAGGTTAATATTAGAAAAGCTTTCCATCGCTGGAGAGAGGTTAGACATTGGGTACAGATGTTGCTTTGTTTCTGCTCCATACGTGATTAACATTGGTTATGCTGTTGTTGTAATGTTTGCTATAGTAACAGGACAGTTTTGAGTGTTATTGTTTGTCTGGAGCTGTTGGTGACTAACAACCAACTTTTGCTTGTATATACTCTTGTGTATGTTCTTCTGTCATTCATTTTTCTTCTTCGCTTTATTTTTTGCGATGCATTATTTTGCTTTGCCTTAGCTATAATAAAGAGGCATCCACTCTTGCATTGTGTGTTCGTGCATTTTGGGGGAAGAGCAATTTTTTGGGGTTAATTTCAAATATAAACAGTGTTTCACAGAAATCACTTACTGCACCTTTAACCCTCAAACCGTATTCACTTATAATCCTGTAATTGTGGATAAATGTGGGCACAAAGGACTCAGGTGTGATCTTAATTTTTATTTATTATAAATGTTATGTCACTGTCTTTTATAAAGTTTTGTCTATCCATTTATGGTGTTTTTTTTTTTAATTTTGGGGGTATTTTTGAATTTATTTACTCCAAAAAGTACCATATTTTCTGTGTAAATTATGCTTATTTTTATGTTTTATTTTTTTATTTTTTTAACTACATTAAAATATCATTCCAATAAGTTCTTAGAGCTAAAACCTAAAGATGAAGTGACTTTACTGTCACCTGGTGTCTTATTTTGGCTTATTTTAGAATGCTCTAAATTACAGTTTTTCCCATTCATTTCTATGGGTGCCTATTTTTGACCCAAATACAAGATTAAGGAGTTTTTTTCCCACCCATTTAACATTGTAGAATTGAGCCAAAAAAAATTGGGTGTTTTCAGGAGGCAAACTTAGGAAAAGTAGCCAAGTCTTGTACCGCTCAGATCAATGGAAGTTTTTTTTTTTTTTTAAATAAATCAAAACTATTTTGCCCACATTTGTCCAGAATATGGACAAATATTCTCTCTCTGCTATTACTGACTTTATATCTGTGTACAGGTGGAGCCACTGACCGGTCCACTGGAGGGCGGCATACTGCTGACAATCCAGGGATCAAATTTAGGCCAGAACTTTCAGGACGTCCAGGCAGGAGTGACGGTGGCAGGGGTCAGCTGTAGACCTCTCCCTGAGGCCTATCGCATTTCCACCAGGTACAATGCCTCTCTTAAAATTACTGTTTTAGTGCATCAAATAAAATGAGAAACTGCCGTCAAAATTCATATGTGCATAATTCTGTTTTTTGTTTGTTTTGTTTTTAGCATTGTGTGTGAACTCCAGGCCAGTGCAAATGTCACCGCCGGACCGGTCATCATCACCGTCCGAGGTTCAGAGAAAGGCGAGTCCAAGCAGACGTTCTCATATCAGAACCCACAGCTGAGCATGATTGTGCCCAAAAAAGGGCCCTTGGCTGGGGGCACGACAATAACGGTGCACGGGTCGCAGCTCCTGACGGGACAAAGAACAGAACAAAATAGTGACCAAATCACCGGCCTGCAGGCGTTCCTGGGCTCAAAACCTTGTCGCATGTGAGTGCCAATATCTTTCATCGGTTTATTGATGGAAAATGCTAATGTAATTTACTGAAAAGATGCTGCTAGTTGCATTTATCTAGGGGTGTGTTCACACTTGGCAGGTTTGGTTCGATTAAAATGAACTCTGGTGCGATTGCTCTGTTAGTGCGGTTCATTTAAATAAGTGTGAACGCTGCTATCCGAACCCTGGTGACACCAAACAAGAGGGCCGAGACGCTGAAAAGATGAGTCTCGGTCCGCTTCCAAACAAACTCTGGTGCAGTTGAAATGAAATATGAAAGCAACACGGACCAAAGACATGGTTAAGGAGATTTGTTTTTAGAAAGAACATAATGTTCACTTTTAAAAAAAACTTTTGCTGATAATTTCCTCACCCCCATGTCATCCAAGATGTCCATGTCATTCATTCTTCAGTCGAAATGAAATTAAGGTTTTTGATGAAAACATTCCAGGATTTTTCTCCATATAATGGACTTCAATGGGAACCAAACGGTTCAATGTCCAAAAGACATTTTCAGTGCAAACTGTTCAAATGGCTTTAAATGATTCCAGACGATGAATAAGGGTCTTATCAAGCGAAACGATCGCTCATTTAAAAAAACAAAAAAAAAAAGTTTAAGTTTTATACACTCAAATGGTCGCCTCGCTCTGTTCTGTGATGCGCGTTTGTGACTCTCCTGTTCGAACTCGTTCGTCAAAATGAACTAATCTTTTCCCGAGTCAACTTGTTCATTTAGTTCGTTGAATGAACCAAATGACACAAAAAAGATTCGTTCATTTTGATAAACGATTTCGAACAGGAGAGTCACGAACGCGCATCACAGAACAGAGCAAGGCGAGCATTTGAGCTTTTTTAAATGAGCAATTTTTCGCTTGATAAGACCCTTATTCATCATCTGGAATCGTTTAAAGTCCTTTGAACAGTTTGCACTGAAACTGTCTTTTGGACCTTGAACCGTTTGGTTCCCATTGAAGTCCATTATATGTAGAAAAATCCTGGAATGTTTTCATCAAAAACAACTTCTCGACTGAAGAAAGAAAGACATGGATATCTTGGATGACATGGGGGTGAGTAAATTATCAGCAAAAGTTTTTTCAATAGTGAACTAATCCTTTAAAGCACCTTTTTTTCCTCGTCATAGTCACGATGTTGCCCATCACTGTTTGGTACAGGCATCAGAACCGCGTCTCCTCGCAGCAGATCTTCGTTCGTTTGACTCCTTTACACATTTTATAAGCTCTTTATGAGTTCTCATTTAGCCCAGCACAACATTGTTTTGGATGTTCGGTAAGTTCAGTCAAGTAATATACATAATAAAAGCTGACCAAACAGGTTGTGAACATATCCCTAACCCTTTAGGTTCAGTATCTTTAGGTTTGGTGTTAAAATGCCAATGGGAATGCTAAGTGGACAAGGATTAAATGTTGTTGTTTTTTTGGTCTGAACCAAAAGTGAGAAGTTTTCTCTCTCTTTTTTCCCCCCATTAGCAATGAAGTGAGTGACACGAGGCTGATTTGTCGTACCAGTCACTCAAACCAAACTGGAAAAGTGCTACTCAAAGTTGTGTTTGGAAAAGCAGAGAGGATTTTGGATAGTGTCCTTTTCAGCTATATGGACGACCCAGTGATTATTGATGCAACACCCACTGAGAGTTTCTACGGGTGCGTGTGCTCAAGTCCTACTCTTCCTACACATCATGAGACTATTCCTCTAACGTTTTCATTTCAATTTAGGGGTGGACGTTTTATATACGTGACCGGCCAAAACCTAAATGTCGTTCAGCACCCGAAGATGTCAGTCTCTTATGAGCCTAGAGAGAGTTTTGAAGTCAGAAGACGTCGATACGCCCATGTTTCTGCAAGGAGTCTCTTGGTTATGGTAAAATAGTAATTTCACACATTGCTTCAACCGATTTTACATATCAAACACAGAATTTGTTTTCAAAATTAATGCAAACAGGACTTACACATTTGATTCATTCTCAGAGGTTCAAATATTTATTCAGAGACGGTTTAATCATTTACTTGACTAAATCTGAACACTTTAACTCTCCAAGCCCGTGAGAGAGAATGTTCTCGGAAGTGCAGTCGTGCATCTGTTTCTTTCTTTCTTTCTTTCTTCAGAGTCAGAATATGTGCACCAACGTTACCTCGGAGCAAATGATTTGCAAGAGCCCAGAGGTGCCACCGAAATCCAGGATTGTGCGAGTGTGGTTCGAGATGGACAATGTGCACATCGACTTTCACACCATTAAGAACAAGCCGTTCATCTACCACCCAAACCCAGACTTATTCCAGCTCAACAGTGAATCCCAAGGAACATCCATCCGATTCAAGCCTGGTGGAGTCCTGGCAGTCGAGGTGCATGCATTTCTGTAGCATTTAGGGTCAATCAGTATTATTTAAGTACAGAATTTTTAATGAATTGTTTTAAAGGAGTAGTTCACTTTTAAAAAAACTTTTGCTGATAATTTACTCACCCCCATGTCATCGTAGATGTCCATGTCTTTCTTCAATCGAAAAGAAATTAAGGTTTTTGATGAAAACATTCCAGGATTTTCTCCATATAATGGACTTCAATGGGAACCAAACAGTTCAAGGTCAAAATGAGAGTTTCAGTGCAGCTTCACAGGGCTTTAAACGACACCAGACGATGAATAAGGGTCTTATCTAGGACCCTTCGAGTCATGACTCGAAAAAAGATTTGTTCATTTTGATGAACGAGTTTGAACAGGAGAGTCACTCACAAACACTCATCACAGAACAGAGCAAGGTCGGCATTTGAGCTTATAAAACTTAAACTTTTTCATTTTATTTTTTAAATGACCGATCGTTTCGCTTGATAAGACCCTTATCGTCGGTCGTCTGGTGTCGTTTAAAGCCCTTTGAAGCGGCACTGAAACTCTCATTTGGACCTTGAACCGTTTGGTCCCCAATGAAGTCCATTATATAGAGAAAAATGCTGGAATGTTTTCATCAAAAACCTTAATTTCTTTTCGACTGAAGAAAGAAAGACATGGACATCTTGGATGACATGGGGGTGAGTAAATTATCAGCAAAAGTTTTTTTAAAAGTGAACTACTCCTTTAAACACTGTAGTTGTATCTGAGATTGGAAGTGTTTGGTTTGTGTTGTCGACAAGAAGATGCTGTTTTCTGGGATGCGGAAGCAAATCCACTTTGCATGCACTTCCAAAGGATGAAGACTTGGGGGAAAAAAAGTGCTATGGAAGCCTCTAGAGCTGAAACTCAGATATATTCTGACGCATGCTGTAAGCGGTCGACCAATCACAACACACTTGGCCAGCTGACCAATCAGAGCAGAATAGATCCTTGGATCAGACTAGATCCTTGATCAAACCGTTCTATATTGTGAGAACAATGAGTTTTTTGACCTTGGATGCATGTAAACTTATTATAAGAGACTTCCAAAACAAAATTAGGAACCTTTAAAATAGCATAGTAGGGGCAATAGCATATATAGTTTTATTTAAATGAACAAAAATGATTTTTAGTAGTAATTTTTAGTTTTAGTTAACTATAATAACCGTGTTGTTTTGCACCAAAACAGTTTTAATTTAGTTGAAGTTGACTGAGGATGTGTTTTTTGTCTCTGAAGGGAAAGGGACTGACACTGGCCATGAGCAGAGAGGAAGTTGTGGCCCGGCTGGGGAAGGAAGAATGTGACGTGAAGACTCTGGATAACACACACCTGTACTGCGAACCACCTGAGGAACAGCCTCTCGCCCTGGACGACGAGGACTTACCCAAGCTTACAGTCAGTCTGAATACAGTTACTTCTTTAGTTGTTTCACTGCACATGTTTTTTTTCTTTTTAAATGTGACCAAGAGGTTATTTTTATTCTGGTGCAATTGCCAAATACAGTTTGGGTGTCGTAGTTATAGTCAGACAAACAGTGTGTTGGTGTAAAATGACAAGTTTTGAGCGTCACAGTTTTTACATCCGCACAGAAAGTGAAATTCTGCATGAAGTGATAAAGTCACAGCCAATTAGAACATGTGTGATGTTTAACAGAGGCACTTTTTAAGCAGACTTGTTTTTTGTAGTGTTTTTCAATAGAGAATTAGAGATTTTAACGTATTGGTTTATTTTGGATCTTCAATTGTGCATGTTAATATCATCTATTATTAGATGACCATTGCTGTTTATTTTAAAGTTAATCTTTGAAAACATCAAAAGTAACACTGTTAAATAAACATTTTTTGCACAAATCAAAATGAATAATTTTTTTATTATTTCATTGCATTGTAATTCAAAGCAAATTCACCTTTAAAACTAGGGATGGGGCCGATCCGATCCAGTATCGGTATCGGGACCGATACCAGCGTAATTCACGTATCGGATTTTTCCGATCCAACCTGCGGAGAAATCCGATATTTATGATCCATGTCTGCGCTTTAACGTTGTCTGCTGAAATGACTCCAAAAGGGATTCCCCGGGGCTGCTAGTCTGCTAGCTGGCTGCAAACTGTGGAATGGATATCCTGAACGGAGGTGCAGCTCAATCATAGACTGTAAAAAATAGGGCTCAATGAGACACACAGACCCCCACTCAGGAAATCCATTCCGCAGTTTGCAGCCAGCTAGCAGGATAGGATTGAGCTACCAACATGTTCGCTGTGTGGAAATACTTCACACTGGAAACACCGCAGCAGAGCAAGACCGCAAAATGCAATGTTTGCAAAGCCGTATTAATTAAACTATTTGTCTGTAATGCATGTTTGCAATTCGCAGTCCAGAAGAGAAAGAGAGAGATCTCTCACGCAGTCCCACAGCACGCACAACACGACAGCCCTGCTTAATGAGTGACGACAGAGGAAACGTAGCCTGGTTATATCTATGATATTAGTCTGATTTCCAAAGATTAAAGAATATATTGAGGTAAAAAACCATTAAAAACAATAGCCGCATTCTGTCTAGCCAACTTTCTTCCCATCGCGGCGGTGCACTGTCATTTCTCCTTAATACTAAAACTTAAAGACAGAATCAGCACGATCTGTGATTGTTGTAAAATGCAGGCTCTGCTGTTGCTAAATTGCGGGACACTTTTAATAATAAAGAGAGCTATTAAAAGCACAAAATTTGCGCAAGAAATGCTGTTCCCAATGCGCGCGCGCTCCGAAACAGACTGCAACAAGACAAGCAAATTATAATCTGGGCTTCATATGCGCGTCTAAACGATCAAATGTAGCCTGCACAAGAAAAATGTCAAACCGACCGGCTTGGAGATTAACACTTAAACCGTTTATGTCTAAAATGAACGTAGTTATGGAAGTAGTTGGGAGAAAATATGGTGCATCAGTAGATATGAAATCTGAACTCGTTCTTAAAGGGGCAGCAGTATAAATGTGACGATTGCGACATTACTGAGAGCCAAACAACAAAAGGCAAAGAGAAAATCACTCACAGCTCTTGAATGAATTACTTCAGCTCTAATAAGCATAAATCTATCTATGGTAAGCTTTGCAGTGCTATTTTACTTTTGATTACTTTATTATAATTCTTTTTAGACCATACCTGAATAATGTTAGTAGACCTTCCTGAAATTAAAGCACTGTGTAGGCCTGTATAATGTGTATCTTTGTTTAATTGTCTATCTATTGTTTAATATATATACTGACATACATACGCACATATCATCCTAGCCTGTAGAGAGGAGTTTATTTCAACATCATATAAAATCAACAATAATGATAAATAATATTAAAGCAAACACAGCTCTGGTATCGGAAAAGTATCGGTATCGGCCGATATCCAAAGTCGGGTATCGGGATCGGATCGGAAGTGAAAAAATGTGGATCGGTGCATCCCTATTTAAAACAATTGATTTTAGTTATTTATTAATCAATAAAATGGAGAAATATAATTTATTTAGACAAAAGAGTATAAAATGTAATATAATTATTGGCCATAATATGAAAATTATTACTGGCTTATCATCCAGAGTTTTGACTTTCTACTGTATGGAAAAACGTATAAAAATCACGACTTTAAAATACATCGAAGAAGTATATCAACTTAGAGGCATATATAATCGCTAAACGACCATGTTAGATCTGTCTTGTGTGGTTTATGTTTTTGTCTCTGCTGTGAAAATGAGGTTTTTACTACCGACTGTGGCCTGGAACCCGTCTGTTTGAATAGATGTCATTTATAGCTTCACGCTGTGTCTTATCACACCTGCTTAGGATAGTGTCTTTATTTTGCCATCACATGCTAACATCTATGTGTGTGTGTCATCTCAGGTGTTAATGGGAAACTTGGCGTTTGACTTGGGTCGGGTGCAGTATGACAACGATTTACACTCTCCGGTGCCTCTGGCGGCTCAGATCGGCCTGGCAGCGGGGGCCGCGGTGGTGGTTCTCATCGTGCTGGTCATCATTCTCATGTACAGGTGTGTGAGTTCGGATGGCGGATTCCTCACCCTTCTGAGCTTGTCGTCATGACGACGAGCCCTGAACTTAAATCCAGCACTCAGGAAGAATTCTAATGGTATCCATTTCTTAGCGGCCGTGCTCTAACCCTGTGTTTGCTCTCGCTCTGTTTTTAAGGCGGAAGAGTAAACAGGCTCTGAGAGACTATAAAAAGGTTCTGGTGCAGCTGGAGACTCTGGAGATTAACGTTGGAGACCAGTGCAGGAAAGAGTTCACTGGTATGGCAGGACTTATTCATCCATACAGTTTGTCCTTACTATAATATGTAATGGAAGCCATTAGTCGTAGACTAAAAGAGCCACTTTAGCTGATTAAACTGCTAATATTTTGAAATTATGATTTATGATGCTTAAAAGGTCCAACTTCTGCCTTGTTGGTTAAAAAAATCTTCTAAGAAACTTAAGTGGCTAATTGACATTTTATATTATTCAGTGTACATGTCTATGACAATGACAATTTATTTGTATAGCACTATTAAAAACAACAGCTGTTGACCAATGTGCTTTCCACATAGACTCACACATCAATAAGGAACTTATAAAAAATAAGCACATATAAAATACATATAAAAACAAAGTCTTTAATCAAAAGCTTTTGAAAATAAATATGTTTTAAGCTTTGATTTAAAAATAGTAAGAGATGGAGCCTAGCGATATCTATCCATCTATCGTCTATATATCTATCCATCCATCCATCTATCCATCTATCTAAATTAAATATTTATATAGTTATTAAAAAATTAGGAAAGCGGTTATTATAATCTTTGTCATTTTATTTAATTATTATAGCAATATTTAACTATAACACTATGGTGTTTGTCAATATGGTTTCCATATAATTGTTTATTGAAATGTGATAAATGAAACCTAATATTGTTATCAATGCTCTGCCATCCACCTTTTTAAACAAACTTTTCCTGCCCTCCAGATCTGATGACGGAGATGATGGATCTGAGCAGTGACGTTGGTGGTCCTGGTATCCCGTTTCTGGATTACCGCACATATGCAGAGCGTGTTTTCTTCCCTGGCCAGAAGGGTGCGCCACTGAGTCAGAATCTGGATTTGCCTGATTTCCGTAGGCAAACGGTGGAGCAGGGCCTGGGTCAGCTCAACAATCTGCTCAACAACAGACTCTTCCTGATACGGGTCAGTGAAGTGCCTAGTTTCTGCTGTCAGTTCGGCCCCAGCTTCCTGTAGAGGAAAAGAAAGCTGAGTGTAATTACAGTGTTTATCCCGCTGACGTGTTTAGTGCATCAGTGGCTGTTTTTAGAGCCATGATTTCACCTCGAAAACTAAACAAAGGATGAAAAGAAAGCAATGTAGTATTCAATTTGCGTTAATGCAGGTGGATGCCTGTTTAGCACAGAGAGTTCTCAGTCGCTATCTTCTTTTCTTGATGTTTTATCTGCGTTTAAACTGTCAGGAAACTTCAGAAGTGAACTTCAGCATTTTAAATATTTATTCATCTCAGTAGTCTGAGGCTTTGTTGATGTTTACCAGTGCAGTTTTTTGAAAGCTCGAACTGTGTGATTGAAATTGGGAGGGAACATCTGTGGCACTATTGCTGGTAATCTCTCCTCTGGGTTCCTCTAGTTCATCCATACTCTGGAGGCACAGCAGAATTTCTCACAGAGGGACAGAGGTTACGTTGCGTCTCTTCTCACGATGGCCCTTCATGATAAGCTGGAATACTTCACTGATGTTATGAAGACCCTACTGGGGGATCTAGTTCAGCAGTATGTGGCCAAGAACCCCAAACTTATGCTGCGCAGGTATTTCAGTCACCTGTTATTTATTTGGCATACATTTATTATTGTTAATTTACCCAAAACATCTTAGTGCGTTCAAAGCACACTTTTTATCAGTATAAGAGTTTTTTGAATCATATCCCTGACCGTGGCATTGATATTTACTATCTTTATGTTTGGAGTCACTATGATCCTGATGTTGTACACTGAAAAATATTTAGAAAAAATAACGGGCTATCAATTAATGAATTTTTTCATATCATTTATTTTGTTCCTTTTTGAAGCGTTAAGGCCTGTTCACACCGGGACCAAAGTTTAACGCCTCGTGACTAAACAAAAGGCCTCAATGTGAATGTGCACACCAACGTGGAAAACGCCACACGTAAAAGCGTAATTTAAAAAAAAATACCTTTAGGGTTTGTTTTTTTTAGTTTGACGCACCGCGTCAAAAACTATCTGACCAATGAGATTGCTGCTTTTCCTCATGTGTTTGGAGCTTCTGAAGTTACAGTAAAACACCACTTGGGGGCGCTCAAACACAAAACGGTTTTGCCGAGCACACATACGTAACGGAGAAGAAGAGCTACGCCAAGTAGCGTCAGAGAATGTCTAATTGAAGAGAATTGGCACTGGCTGGTTACTTCCGGTTTCTGGACTGGCTGCAGTAACACGTCTCTGTCCATGCGGGGGCGCTCGTGGTCGAGTGTAGAATGAATGGGAGTCAATGGGGTTTCACCCCCAGAAATCCACTTTTCTCAGGATGTAATTTTTTGTCAAGTAATTTGAAAGTTGCATTCAAAAGGGAGGGCTAAGATAATACACTCAGCTGAAAATTGCATTTTTAAGTTCACTTATCTGTTCTAAAAATCCGTTCAAAACTGTGATGATGTCACACAATAGCAGAATGCTAGCGTGTTCCGGCTAACAATGGCCTAACCTGTAAGAAATCAAAAGGACATAAGTACTCGTTCATTCGACTTTTGGCCTATAATCTATATTGAACTTGCGGAATAAACAATAAAATCTGTTGATTTAATGACAAGCAGGTGAAAGAGGCACTTTTAGCCGTTTAGCCCCATAGACTCCCATTCATTCTGCTCTCGCCCGCGATCACCTCCAGTGGAATTCTAATGGAACTGCAACCAAGATGATACACAACGGGGCTAATAGGAATTCCCAAGGCTCTCCGTTAGACGGGCTCTGGTAGCGTCGCCTTCTACACTGCCTGGAAGAAATAAGGAAGATGCAAGGCAAGGTGAATGTGGAGCTGCTGGTCTCGTTGGTGTTACAACATAAAGAACTATATGATAAACGCGACAGCGACTACAAACATCTCGATAAAAGAAAACTGTTATGGAGCGATATTGCACAGCAAAGGGGCGCCATCTAATGTCAGGGAATGAATTTGCGTGCTCACTCGGCTCATCGTGTGAACACAAAAAACGTGTTGAAAAACGCTGGCGAATAACGTGCGCCTATATTCGTCCCGGTGTGTACGGCCCTTTAACCTTCTGTTTTCCCACAATGCAGGTGGTAATTAAAAATGTAATTTGGTTATGCTGTGTTGTAGCTTTGTGTATGTTTTCAAGAACACATCAATAATATTCAATAAGTAATAATAAGTAGACTACTAGTTTATTAAAATGATTTGCATTTATTTCTGTTTAGTTTACTCCTAACAGACAAGGTTGTAACTCGCATAAAATAAATGCGAACATTTCAAAAGAATACATCATGTGTTTGTTACAAACATTAAAAAACACAATAATTGGTCTGATCCGCCCTGATCTGATTATAGTAAATCTAATCTGAAGTGATATAACACACGTGTTGTCATCTGTAGGACTGAGACGGTTGTGGAAAAGATGCTGACCAACTGGATGTCCATCTGTCTCTACTCTTTCCTCAAGGTATCATAGCATGTGATGGCTTCAGTTCTGTGCATTTGCATTGATTGATATTTTTATTTTTCTCAAGAGTCTAACAATCAATATATTATTGTTCATTTTTATATATAATATAATAATCATATATTAATATTTTTCATAGATGTATTGCTGTTGCTGTTTACCATGTTCACAGAGATCTGCTTTGTATCTTAACTGTGGTAAAATCACTGTAAATGCCCCCAATATACTCACAGCGAAGTTCTTTTTCTTTCATCTAAAAATGAGTTTCAAATCCCTTTGCAGCGTTATATTGTTAGCAAACATCCCGACGCCACCAACAATGATAAATGCGGTGTTTAGATGAATATGTAAATATGAAATGAACCGGAGAAGGCGGAGCCTCAGAGCCACACCAATGGTAGATCGGAGGTGTTTACCAGACAATTTTTCTGGAAAGTTTGCTTTGGCAGGCTGTATCAAAATCCCAAAACAAATGCAAAATTAACTTTGTTTTGGTCTGATTTTGTTCTAAATGACGTCACAGCATTTTTGTTCTCTTTCTCTTGAAGTGTATTGGGGCCTTAACATTAGACTTCTCATGGATTATGGTTTTAATAAAACATATAATCAACATTTATTGTGACAGACATAATTGCAAGTGCTAATGCATGTAAGTGTGTGTGTTTGTGCAGGAGGTTGCTGGTGAGCCTCTGTACAAGTTGTACAGGGCTATTAAATACCAGGTAGATAAAGGACCAGTGGATGCAGTGACGGGCAAAGCCAAACGCACTCTCAACGACAGCCACCTGCTCAGAGAGGACATCGACTACTGCTCTGTGGTGTGTCTCTGTAATACGTCCATCTCAATGCTACACAAAACAAATCTCCTAAATGAATAAATCGAATGAGACAAGAGTTTGTGTTTCCCATCTCAGACTCTGACAGTGCTGGTGAAGAGTGGTGTCGAGGTCCAGCCCTGCCCTGTTAAAGTTCTCGACTCTGACACCATCACTCAGGTTAAAGATAAAATCCTGGACCAGATTTATAAAGGAGCGCCATTCTCCCAGAGACCAGCCGCAGACTCACTGGACCTTGGTACGGTTTTGGTAGATTAGAAGTATTGCACTAGAATTCGATACACCTTGACTAGTCACTACAATGTTCAGTTTGTTTGTAAAAGCTTTATATTTTGCATATTGTGTTCCTTCACAGAGTGGCGATCTGGCCAGGCGGGTCACCTGACTCTGTCTGATGATGATGTCACAGGCATCGTCCAGGGTCGTTGGAAACGGATCAACACTTTACAGCACTACAAGGTATAGTTCGTTCAGATGAATTGGTTGGTTGAATGTGGGTCGGCTGATTAGTTAATTGACTGGTTTGTTGGCTGATTGGTTTGTGGGATGGTAGACTTGTTTCTTTGTAGGTTGATTGATTGTCTGATTGGTTGATTCTGAGGAGCTGTTTACACAACACCGTTTTAAAGTAAAAACGTGAAAAGTATGCATTTTGGCCGTTCGTTTACACGACACATTTTTGAAAACGTCTCTGTGTGAACGACAAGAACGCGAACCTCTGAAGACGGTGACGTCGTGAACATGCCTATTACGTGTTCAGTCTATAGTGTTTCATCGCCATCTAATGGCCTGGCTGCAGAATACAGCATTTTTAGTATTTTTCACGGATCTATGTAAATGTGGATCGTTTTGACAATGTCCGATTGACGTAGGATGCGGAAAACTCAAAGGAATGACTTCTCTGTTTTAAGCATATTGTCGTGTAAACGTAAACCTGATTTTGTTTTTTTATTTTGTGAGTTGACTGGTTACTTTTGTGTGTTGGTTGGTTGATTTGTGAGTTGACTGGTAAATTGCGTGAGTTGGTTGGTTGATTTGTAAGTTGACTGGTTTGTTTTGTGAGTTGGTTGGTTGGTTTGTGAGTTGACTGGTTAATTTTGTGAGTTGACTGGTTAATTTTGTGAGTTGACTGGTTAATTTTGTGAGTTGGTTGGTTGATTTTTGAGTTGACTGGTTAATTTTGTGAGTTGGTTGGTTGATTTGTAAGTTGACTGGTTTGTTTTGTGAGTTGGTTGGTTGGTTTGTGAGTTGACTGGTTAATTTTGTGAATTGGTTGGTTGATTTGTACGTTGACTGGTTAATTTTGTGAGTTGGTTGATTTGTACGTTGACTGGTTAATTTTGTGAATTGGTTGGTTTGTGAGCTGACTGGTTAATTTTGTGAGTTGGTTGGTTGGTTTGGTGAGTTGACTCTGGTTAATTTTGTGAATTCGTTGGTTGATTTGTACGTTGACTGATTAATTTTGTGAGTTGGTTGATTTGTAAGTTGACTGGTTAATTTTGTGAGTTGGTTGGTTGATTTGTAAGTTGACTGGTTTGTTTTGTGAGTTGGTTTGTGAGTTGACTAGTTAATTTTATGAGTTGGTTGGTTGATTTGTAAGTTGACTGGTTAATTTTGTAAGTTGGCTGGTTGATTTTGTGAGTTGGTTGGTTAGTTTAGTTAATTAATTGGTTGATTTTGTGAGATTGTTTGTTTTGATTTGGATGGCTGATTTTTGAGAGTCGGTTGATTTGATTTAGAAAATTAATTGGTTGATTTTGTGAGGTTGTTTGATGTTGTGGTGTGGATGGCTGATTTTTGAGAGTTGGTTCACGTTGGTTGATTTAGTTAATTAATTGGTTGATTTTGTGAGGTTGTTTGATGTTTTGGTGTGGATGGCTGATTTTTGAGAGTTGGTTCAGGTTGGTTGATTTAGTTAATTAATTGGTTGATTTTGTGAGGTTGTTTGATGTTTTGGTGTGGATGGCTGATTTTTGAGAGTTGGTTCACGTTGGTTGGTTTAGTTCATTAATTGGTTGATTTTGTGAGTTGGTTGGTTGACTTGATTTAGCTCTAAGTCTCTCTCTTTCCTCTTGTTTTCTCAGGTACCTGATGGGGCCACCGTCGCTCTCATCCCTCGTTCCCAGAGTTCCCTTGGAGTAAATCAGATCTACCAGACTGGAGAGAGTAAGTTGAATGCTTTTTTGGTCAATAAAAAATAAACTGTTATCACTTCACTTTATTTGACACTTTATTCACTTCGTTACTGACCATCAGAGAGCAAAAATGATATATATCGTATTGATATCTGGTCTGCTCCTTGAAATTGCTCTAGAAACTCCAATGCTGGAGGGAGAGGAGGAGGAAGGCCTTCGGCTGTGGCATCTGGTGAAGCCGAGCGAAGATGCCGAGATCCCCAAACACAGGAAGAGCAGCATGAGAGAAAGAGAGCGGGCAAAAGCTATTCCTGAGATCTACCTTACACGACTGCTTTCAATGAAGGTAAGTGAGATGTTTGTGATTGAGTCATCTTTAAAACAGCACACACAAAAACAGTTCAAACGGATCCTGCCGCTGCTTATGTTTGTTTGGGATCTGTCTTCTGCTGCCGACTGTCAGTGTGATTGAAAGCTGCTCTGTGTTTATAAATGTGTATCTTCAGGGTACTCTGCAGAAGTTTGTAGATGATGTCTTTGTAGCCATTCTGAGTACGAAACGGCCTCCACCCATCGCTGTCAGATTCTTCTTTGACTTCCTGGACGACATGGCAGAGAAACACGGCATCGATGACCCAGAGACCGTTCACATCTGGAAAACAAACAGGTCAGCGTAACTGCCTACATCTATAAAACTATTTAATTAAGGGTTCAGGAATTCAGATTAAATATGACATTTGAAGTGGACATATTTTTATTTCACTCGATTGTTAGTTGGTAGACATTCATGTTGTCATTCTATGGTTATTGAAATCCTGGAAAATTCAGGGAATTCGGAAATGTGTTTTTCAGGTCTAGAAAAGTATTTTCTCAAAAAAAGTCTATAAAATAGTTTTTAAATCTTTAAAATCTTCATTTTCTGGTAAAGTGATGGATATTCATTGGTCAATAGGAGGGCAAATCCATTTTTCATCCATTTCATAAAGTACAAATGCAAATTTTTTTCTCGTTGCTTCAATCTTATATATTTTATTGACTAAATATAGAATAAAACATGGTCGCAAGACATGTTGATGTCCATTGATGTCCAAAAAATAAATTTTTTACAAAGATAATTGAAAAGCTCTGGAAATTCATGAAATCTGAAAATGTCTATAGTGAATACAATTTTTGTACATATTTCCATTTTGTAATATTAATAGTCACTGTCCTTGTGTAAAATTTGCTAAGCAAGCAAATCAATATTTTTTTTCCCACAATCAGTTGGTCGAACTGGTTCAGAAATTAGTCTGAATGATTCATTAGTGAATTTGAATTGATTTTTAGAAATCCTTACTCTGTGATTGCAAATGATTGGAAAGGTTTTGGAGAACCCTCATGTTTCCATGTTCGTTATATTAAATGTTAATTTAAATGCACTCTTGTCTTCCCTCCGCCTTACAGTTTGCCTTTGCGTTTCTGGGTCAACATCTTGAAGAATCCTCAGTTTGTCTTTGACGTGCAGGTGACGGATAGCGTGGATGCCGTCCTTTCCGTTATCGCACAGACCTTCATTGATTCCTGCACTACATCCGAGCACAAAGTGGGCCGGGTCAGTACTGCAATTAACCTCTTGACCTCTCTAGCCGTGACCTCATTATGGTCGAGAGTGTGCATGTAGGGCGAGAAGATGAACAAGGGCAGGAAAGAGAAAAATAAAATAACTTGGCTTGAAAGAACCTCATTGTTGTGTGCCTTTTCCTTCAGGATTCTCCTGTAAATAAGCTGTTATATGCCAGAGAAATCCCACGATACAAGCAGCTGGTGGAGAGGTGAGAAGATCTAAACGCTATACAGTGATACGGCCCTTTTCAAACACATCTATTAGCGCTGAAATGGATGCAGGAAGTTGATATTTCTTCGTGTCCTGCAGGTACTACAGTGATATTCACAACGCCGTGTCCGGCTGTTACCAGGAAATGAATTCAACCCTCACAGAGCTGTCTGGGGTGAGACTGAATTTTATTCTGTTTTAAATTAAAATTCTGAATGTGTTTTTACATTTTAACAGACAGCAGGGTCGGAAATTATGAAACCACATTGAGAATCTAGGATTTAATGTCCAGTTTAAGGATCAATTATGTGACACTTATTAGTTGTTCTATTAATTTATTAGATTACTTGAATGAATACACATTGATCATGTTATTAATTTCTGAATTACAATTATTCATTATTTATTTGATATATGTCATGTGGTGTTTTTTGAATTTTTGAAAAAATGTTTTTAATTATATTTTAATTTCTTTTTTAAATAAATAACTTGATTTTAGTAATAAATAAACTCGTCATGTGTCTGGAATGGAGTAATAAAACTGGAGTAATATGTGCCCTTTTACTCGTGTGGGTTAAAAGCCTAGCAGCAGAGTTTTGGACAGTGTGGAGACGACCAAGATCCTTCTTATTAAGGCAAATAAAAAAGACTGTTGCAATAGTCTAAGCGAGACGAGATAAAAGCATGAATGATCATCTCCAACTCGGCTTTTGACACCAAGGCTCTTATCTTAGAAATGTTCCTTAATTGAAAGAAACAGTTTTTAATAAGATGTTTCGAGAGTTTCTCCAGAGACATGGCCGTTCTTTTCAATTAGTTCATTTGAGTGTCAGAAACTCGTGTGATGTGGTTTTGAATAAATAATTGGAAAATATAAAAAATATCCTTTGAATTAATCATTTGAAATATTTGTTAGACAAACATCATATCATGTGGTTTAAACTTTTGAATGAATATTTTTTTAATTTGTGCTATTTGTAAAAAAAATATATAATTAAGGGGTGCAACAAATTTTAAACATCTAAAAAATATATACATGTAAATGGTAAAAAATGTGTTTTGAACTAAACTTCCCTTCTTTTTTAAAATGTTTTTCTCTTTCTTTATCATAAAAAGTTTCTGTCTGTTTTTTAGAGCTTTGCATCCGAGATGAACAGTTTGGTGGCGTTGCATGAGCTGTACAAATATATCAACAAATACTATGATCAGGTCAGTATGGGACTGATTCAAGCTTCTTATGTTGTATGTGTTAGAGCAAATTAATATATCTCACATACTGCATTATGTGCAGATCATCATGTCTCTGGAGGAGGACGCTGCGGGTCAAAAGATGCAGTTGGCCTATCGGCTTCAGCAGGTCGCCGCCCTGGTGGAGAATAAAGTCACTGACCTTTAGACTTGCCTAAACTCATCAATAATCACATCTGAGAGCAATCAAATCAGTGCTTTTCGATTGATCGGCTGATGTAATGCCACCACTCCGTCAAACCCTTGCGCGCTTCCACAGCCGTTCACATAAACTTGCTGTATGCTCTTAACAAAAGGGAACCGGAAACATCACTATCATTCGATAAATCCTTAATGGGATTTTTATTGGAGAAGGATTGCTTTTCAGACTGAGACTCTGAGTGTGTGTGTGTGTGTGTGTGTGTGTGTGTGGGGTCTGCTGTATATGTGAAGTTTACTTATTTCAAATTCTATTTTAATGACACTACTGAAGCAGCTCTCACGTTTTGACATGCCAAGACACATTTTATATTGTTTTTACTTCCATTCAAGTGATCTCAGATCTACCGTATGGAGTTTCAACAAAACCCATCACGTTCAACCATTACAATCACGTCAGCGCTGTGAATAAGTCCCACATGTACTTCGAGTGTTTTGTTCCCCCACTATCAAATCCTAAACTCAAAAGACTGTCCTTGGCCGTGTTGTATTAACCTTTTATACTAACATTTCTACATTAGTATTGCAGATCAAAACAAGTATTAAGCTTTTACAGGGACCGTAGTGTAAGTCTATGCACACAAGTGCCAGAACATGTTATAAGAGCACAATATTTGTGTGTGTGTTTTTGTGTAGCTTTATGTTTGCATGCAAAAGCAGGACATACGGTCGCAGGTTTCAAGTTTTCTGTTGTTGTTAGGATCTCAAATCTAGAATTTCTCACACAGGGATACAGAATTATTAAATGTGCTCATCTGAATTCTGATTTGTAGCACTATAGCCTGTAAAATATGGGTCCAGGATACATTTCAGTCTCAAATCAACACTTTTTTTAAAAAATTAATTAATTAATTATATTTTGCACAACATATTTTTTACTCTTGAACTAATATATCTTTTTTTTTTTAATGTATCGTAATTCTTGTAAAAATGTTTTTCACAAAATTCACAAAAACTTAATGGTCCTGAATTTTTTTTTTTCTTCGATCAAAATACAATTTTGGTGACACTTTACAATAAAGTCTGATTCGTTAATGAACATGAACTAACAATGAGCAATACATTTATTACAGTATTTATTCATCTTTGTAAATACAGACATTCATTGTTTATGTTAGTTCACAGTGCATTAACTGAAGTTAACAACAACTTTTGATTTTAATTATGTGGTAAATTATTAAATCAATAGTAACTAAGATTAATAAATGCTGTAGAAGTATTGTTCATTCTTAGTTCGTTCTAATGTTAATCTAATGAAACCTAATTTGCAAAGTGCAAATTTGCATGAAATAAGACATTTGTGCGATTGAGCCACACTTCCACATGGCATTGATTTCCTAATGCTTTGAATTTAACAGCACAAGAGAGCACAATTCTCAAAGATTCAGTCTCACGCGTGACAATTGCAGGTTCTTGGGAGGTATCGAAACATTTTGGGTCGACAAGTGGAGAAAAGCATCTTTATTCGCTTGGTCCCGATGATTTGAAAGCAGCGGTCGGCTTGAGAGTTGTGTACATCAGACACTGAATAGAAACTAACTTATTATATTGTAAATAATGCTTTATTTATACACGAGCGCCAAATGTGCCTTCTTTGTTACTTTTTATAACGTCTACCAAGTAAACATGCTTGACATTACTTGCCAAATGGAGAAGATGATGAACTGTGGCACAGCTGTTGCCTGTTGTAAAGATCACATGAAGCAGAGTCTCAGGATTCTCAATGGATTCAGTAACCTAATTCATTTCTAGTTTGCCCTACCAGCTCATTTCCTGGAGTGATGATGATGATGATGGAGTAAATTGGATTTTTTTTTTTTGTGCATCTGTTTTTTAGCTGCGTATAATTTGTTTTTGTTTTTTTCCTGAAGCACTTTGTGTTTACATATTGGCTTATCCATAATGTCTAATTTTTTTGTAGTTTTGATCATGAAGCTGATCCCTTTTGTGTATAAAACTGAAAATAATGGATTTAATGCTATCTAGACATCTCAGATGTATTTTTGAAGGCTTCCCTGTTCCTGCATTTATTTATGTGATTTTGAGCTATTAGGCTTCATCATAATAATGAATGCACAGGGTTGGGTTTTAAAAATGGGAAACGTATTAGTTTTCTCATTCTGTGTGTTTATTATCCTGTTGTTGAATGTGTTTGGCCTCTTGGTGTATTTTTCTGATTATTATAGGCTGATGCATGCTTGAGATTTGATTGGATTTTCTGATTGGGGTGCTTTTTGAGAGGTTCACTCGATGGACTGCGTTATGAGTGCATGTCTCTCATAAAAACACTGTCTGAGAATGTGTGTGTGTGTGTGTGGGTGTATGCATGACAGTTTGTAAGTAATTGTAGCGCTTCGTACATGATGTTGAGGTTTTTTTCGTGAATCTCCTGTTATGTACACTTTTCTCTGAGAGAATCCAGCAAAATCTTTTTGTACAGTCTAGCGATTTACTGTTTTGCCAATTGCGTGGATTACAGCTTTGTATCTTTGCCGATAAACAATTCAGACCGTTGTTTAGAGAGTTGTTGGTGTATATGGAGCCCTTGCTCCCTGAGTTTTACACAACTTTTATACAAGGGTTAAAAAAAAATAATAATATATGGTAATTTTCTAATGAAGTTGGGGTTAAAAGAGAACTTAAACCCAGTCGAAAGACTTACTCTTTTGTATTTGTATTGTGTATAGTTTGCTAACAACTGTGTATATGTGCCTGTACATATTGTGAAGAGGACATGTTCTTCTTTGTTTGTTTCTTTTCTTTTTTCTTTTTTTTTTTACTTGGACAGATTTACTCTCTCCAATCAGGAGAAATTGGGAGCTGAAATGTTAAAATGAGTGAAATGGAAATTTGTATCTGGGAAGAAAAAAATAAAGCTATAATTTTAACAGTGAAGATGTTATTTGAATCTGTTGACAAAAAAAAGAGTCTGGGACAATGTCTGGGTCTGAAATTGCATGCTTTCTTGAGTAGGTACTAAAAAGTATGATATAGTATGAATGTAAAATGGACGTACTATAATCGACATGTTGTCATTATCATGTGACCTACCAGCATCAGTTACTTCACTTCACTGCCATTCACAAACCCTCTCCCGTGGCCTCATGGGATACTAAAGTGTCCATCATTTCAGAATCTCGCCAGAATCATTCGTAGGTCATCCTGGTACTTTTATGATTACTGTGAATTCAGACATGCTACTTTTTATCACATACTATTTTTGCCTACTATATAGAGAAGTGTGTGATCTTGGATGCACCCAATATTTTAATTGGATGGATCCCACATATTATGAACCATTTTCATGAAAATTAGGTAACACTTTACCATTAGTTAATCCGTTAACTAATCTTAATTAACAATAACATGTATTTATGAATCTTCATTAATGTTATTAATAAAAATTACAACTGTTCATTGTTAGTTCATGTTAGCTTAGATACATAAAATAATATTAACAGAGATTAATTAATGCTGTGAAAGTATTGTTTATTCTTAGTTCATGTTAATGCAACCTTATTGTAAAGAGTTACCGAAAATTGTCACACATAATATACATATCTTTTATTTTGTAGTCACATTTGAAAAAGAAAAAAAGTCTTCAATAATGAGGTGGAAAAATATATTTTGTTACAGGTTTAGAATGTGCCTAAAAATATAGGCTATAGCTAAATATAGTGGAAATAGACTAAGTTAAACATTAGGTTACTAAAATAATTTAAATGAAAAACATGATGTGTTCCTTCAGTCCTGCCATCCTAGTCTTAACCTTGACACTTTAGGCTGAAAAAAAAAGAGAGAGAGAGGGGCCATTTTGCTTCCTCAGGTCAGCCTGGCATACAGTAGCTGGTAGCAATATATATATATATATATATATATATATATATATATATATATGACGTTTGCTTGCTTCAGATAAATAATTCGAAAAAAGACAAGGCTTAGATGTCTAAGGTGAAATTTTTTTTTTTTTGATTCAGAAATGAAAGTAGCCAAATAGTAGAACTAAGTTAAAATTGTATAAAAATATTATTTGGTATTTATTCCATGTAGGCTGTCTCAGAGGCTGTCTGTGCGTGACCTGTTGTCAATACACAGTGCCTCAGTGCGCATGCGCAGGACCTACTGAAGCGAATGTGCGTTCCGTGAGGTGACAGCTGTCCCGATGATATCGATGAACGGTAAGAGTGTTTGTATTAGAAAACAGCCAAACAGCCGTAAACATATTAATGTCTGTGGGTTTATTATATGTTTTGAGTATAAACGAAACAGTGTCTGCTTGTCGGAGGGTTAAAATGACGCTTGTTTTGATGACTAGAGCCCGTGTTAGCGGTAAAGCTAAGCGCGAGCACGTTTAGAAGATCTAATGTTTGGATGTTCACAGATTCTTCTTTTCGTATGAATTAATCGGTGGATTATTGATAAATGTATTGGATTAGTAAAGTCATATAGCCCGTTTACGATGAAATATCCTCGATCTGATTATGCATGTTGCTGGATTGCCCTCCATTAGTTACTCATACATAGTGAATTGGGGGGTGGGGGTGCCTATAACAGCGTGTCTAATATGTATTCTGTTATATGATATTCTCTCTGATGCCTGGCAGTATTCAGCAGTGATAACAGCCTTCCCCAGAACAGCCTCGGTAAAAAGCAGAAGAGGAAAAACAAGAAGCACCGCAAAACAGCAGCAGCAGTGGAGATCTCTAGTTTGGAGCTGGGGTGAGTGTGTCTAACTGGGCAGAATCCAGATCTGGGTTTCTACTCTGTGAGATGATGCTAAAAATATATAGGAGGGTGGCCATGGGAGTCACTTCTCCAGATAAGCATATTGACTCATGGCCCTCCCTCCCAGTCCATGCACGTGGAACCTATTTTAACACACCCCTGGAAAAAAAAATCTGAACAATACACACCATGGATAAGAAACACAGATCATGTACAGATATCGTTTTCACACATTTGTAAATTTACTACACACCAAATTTCAGTAAAGACTAAAATGGTCAAAAAGTGAAATGACAAACTAAAGGGTTAAAGGGAAATTATCACATATCACCCTCAAGCCAAACACAATTGTCGTTATATAAAAAACGATCCCGTCATCACAGTCTGTAAAAAGGGTCCATGGCAGTGCTGCGATTCAGATTTTCGGTAAGTAGGCCGGTATAGCGAGAAGATGTAGAACAGATGTGTATGTGCTTCTCCTACATAAATATCACGTGCTCAAAGTATCATATTCTAACAAGACATTATATTTACACCATCAGCTTCCATTACTGTTTATGCCAGTAACACAGACAAAAAATGGCATGCTTTTAATGTTGCACTGAAATATCATTAATATCAAACAATGATGTAGTTGTTAAACTGTTCTATTTTGACAGAATGTCATTGTGTATAATGTCCATTTCTGCCATTATAATAATAGCCATGTTGCTCTCTAGATATCATCATTGGAAAAAAAAAACATTTTGGTTGACCACTGTTGCTAACCCCTTTGGAAGTACTTGTTGAAAGCTAGATGGACTGAGACACAGTGTGGCTTTATATTAAGATGTTGCATTGATGTTTTGAAGCACACAGATGGTCGAAGAATATGTATTTCGAGTGAGATCATAAGCCCTAGGTATGAAAGTCACCGCTAGAGATTGCTTATGAAAAGTAGTAGCTGTTGATGTATTATTTATGAAGTTGTCATCAGTGATGCTTGATTATAAATAGTAACATTCTGCGCCTTTAAACATGGCTGTGTTTGGCATAGACAACAAAGAAGTGACGTAATGTAGAAGAATGTACTTTCACACAGGATGCCAACCACCCGATGTTGTATTAAAACACCTCTTCTTCTCTTTTTTTTATTGCTCTTCAGACCCCAGATCCCCTCCTCAGATGAACTGTGCCACATCCTCACCATCCACAGATCCGCCACCCCTCCAGAATCGCCCCCGACGCCTCCGTTAAACCTTTCCCAGAGCCCACCAGACCTCCAGCCTCCAGCCCCCCTCCCTCACTCCATTCCCATCACAGTGGTTTCCTCACCCAGCGTCCTCTCGTCTCCAGACACACCTTCCACTCCCATTACACCTTCACTGGGCCTACCTTCAGTTCCCTCCACGACTCCTCCCACTCCACCGGACCCGTCCAATCAGCTGACCCCACCACAAGCTCTGAGCCCTCCCCCTCCAGACTTTTCCCCACCCCCAGCAGAATTACTCGGGTCAGATGACGAGGAGCAGGAGAATCCGTCAGATTACTGTAAAGGTAGGATTATCATCAGAAATCAGTTTTATTTTCTGTATAACTAGTTTTAAAGATACTTATTGATTCTATATATAAAGTTGTTCAACCTAAAAAGATGGACGATATCACCAAAATCTAACAACATGATACGTGTATCTCATTACAGTTAGTTTGTGGGAAAAAAAGATAAATTATTAAAATATTAACCCTCTGTGGCCTAAGGTGTTTTTGGGGTCCTTGAGATGTTTTGACATGCACATATTAAAACATATTAATGGCAAAGGAGTCGTTACATTCTATTTAGCGCAAACTGGGCTACCATAATATGTGAGCATCATGTACATGTTTGTATTTTTGAGAGAATAATGTTTATGCATGGTTATTGAAAAAACTAAAACTTAAAGTTAGAAATAATAATCTGAAATAAGGCCACAAAACACATACTAAATATGTGTCCACAAGACTTTTGACTAATGGGTGTTGTTGCCTAGAGTTTCTGCTTCAAAATGATCTGAAAATCATCCTGCCTAATCATTCACATAAAACAATACATTGATTTAAATTTTGTACAACACTTTTTTTTTTGGAAAGGCAATATTCGTGAATGATCATGAATAATGCTGTGGTTCACACCTGAGAGGAGAATGACCCACATAATGAGCCTGTCAGTCAGGTATGTCACTGATAGGGTACCACAAGAAAGAATGCCAGGACAAAAAGAAAAGAAAAAATATATATATACAGTGTTTCCCCTACAATGTATTTTACAGCGGCACAGCGCCACCACTGGATTTTCAGCACCGCTGCATCTTCTCATGACCAGTAATATCACGACATTCACCTACACACCTAAAAACACTGAGACACGGCGACCGCTGGCGCGGCTAATGTGGTGGCTCTGAATCCACTTGTTGACAAGAAAGGAGGAAAGAGCCACATATGGAACTATTTTCGATTAGGCTAATGTCACATTGCCATAAGGGACCGTTCACATAGCTAGTTTTTCTGCACATGCAAATTCGTTATTTCAAATGTAGGCGCGCGGGAAGCGCGCTCGTTTTTCCAGGCCGCCTCTGTTCATGGTTGCATAGCAACGACAGATGCCACGGGAGAGAAAGCGCTTTTGGAAAGGAGAAAGCGGCGCTCTCCATGAGAATGAGGAAGTATTAGCAAAGAATGAATTGATTTCTAGCCTTAGCTTTACTACTTGATATATTTATAGAGATGAGAAATAAAAAGCCGCCCTGTACAGCAATGATCAGCTGTTCGGCCGAGCTTTCGATGTTGTTACCGAAAGGCCGAAGCTGATCGGTTGGTTTTTGTCACATGGCCTGTTGAGATGAGATGTTACAATGTTTTCATCTCGCCACGCGTGCCTACAATTGAAATAACGAATTTGCGTCCATCAGAAAAGCAGTTCTAGGCTTATTCTTGGCTGGATAAATCTTAGCAGGTTTAAAAAGCCTTTTAAAATTAAAGGTGTCGCACGTTTTTTAAAACATTTTTTGTCACCTAGTATCTTGTAATGAATGTCACTTCAGTTCTACTTTCTGAGTATGAGACGGAATAAGTAATGCAAAAGGTTTTGTCACAAACTCAACTCGTTCATGCTCTTCATGTTCAAGCAACGTGTAGTATGATGTGTCTTGTCC